TCGGCTTCTTCTCGAGAAGGTCCTTGTTGTACTCTTCGTCCGATATCTTGAACCCACCCTTCGCTAGCTTCTTGCGTTTCACGTTGAGTCCAATCTCGAACTTCTTTGGGTTTTCCTTGATGTCCATCTTTTTCGCGTAGTATTCCGTTCGTCAAGCTGCTACCTCACCACTGTCTTCAGCTTCGTAGAGGTCCAGCATGGACTCCCACATGCCCTTGAATTTCCCAGCAGCATGGTCAGTTGGTTGGTGTGAGGCCAGTAGGTTGAAGGCGACTTGCCCTTCGATGGCCTCCACATTGATCGAATCCTGCAGTATTCCAGCAGCCTTGCTGTTCTTCTTCTGCAGACAATTCGAATCTTTTCTACTCCGTCGTCCGACAACTTGCCCGTACCTGTAGGGTTTTCCCAGTTGTCCGGGTTGATCTCCGTAGAGTCTTTCATCAGTTCTACGTACTCATACTTTGATAAATGGGCCATCCTCTTGACCTTGTAGAACCTGAACTTCTCATCTTTCCCATCGAAGATGGGATACTTGCTCGACTATGATACCTCTACCTCCGTAGACATCTTTACTTACTTCTCAATTCTTCTCTTTCCTGTTTGACAACCTGGATCCAAGCTCACTCTTTTCTGATAGCTATCGTTTTAAAAAAAAGTTTTGAAAAGGTGTGAACTTGAACGCACATTTTCTCTAATTTAATCAATATTCTTCCAGCTCTACTGTCTAGTAGAATGGCTATCTGTTTCGTTTTCTCTTTCTCTCACGTTCAGATTGTGAAGCTCTACACTGAGCTCCGATATTGGGGGCCAGAAAATTAACAAATAATAACACCCAAAAAAAAGGATCTTTCGATCCTCTTGCTTCATCGCAATTTTCAGCTACAGATAGATCTCGTCGATCTATCTTCTTGAAGTGCATGGTTTTTGCCCTGGAGGCTTTCCACTTTAAACGTAAACCATGGCTTGCATCCGTCCTTCATTCTGCTCCGTCCATCAGCTCCTTGCATTCATCTCTTCGACCTAACTTCCTAACCTTTGTAGTTGCATCATCTAGACGACCATTGTCCTCGTTCCTCTTACTCCTGGCCATCTGATGATGATCGGATAACCATCTGATTTGAGTCACACATCCCCAATCACGAACCGTGATTGTGGATCCCGAGTCGTCTGTCCGTCATACAAAAACCTTTCTGACATGTTGTAAATGGAAAAATGTCATACTGGGGAATCGAACTCCCAGACCACGACAGCTGCCAAGTGTGTAATTTAACTTTCTAACACCCTCCCAGAATTCTCACTTGGGAGCTCTAAACTGTACCCTTACGCATGGAGCTACACTCTCCTGGTGGACCCTCCCATGCTAAGCTGTACCTGCCCTGCCAGGACCAAACAGGGGCTCAACCTGGTCTCTACCCAGTACACACACTCCCTAGCAGTCTGCTCGTAGCGTCCATTCTCCTCACCCTTGATGACACCATGTTGTAAATGGAAAAATGTCATACTGGGGAATCGAACTCCCAGACCACGACAGCTGCCAAGTGTGTAATTTAACTTTCTAACAGTTCCCAAACTGTAGATTGATTCTTGTGATCCAGTTGGGGACATCGGTACATGTACCCGGTACATCCAAGCCAGCACAGGCACCATAACGTCAATTCTTTTGCTGTTGCGAGGGTTGAATCCAAGGCAAGAGACAAGAGGCAGTCACTCGAACTGGGAGACTCTGTTTCTGGTCTTCTTCGAGTAAGTATGTATTCTGTATTGCTGTAACCGGTAGTCCGCCATCGAGGGCGGGGCGCAAGCAATAGACGTTGACTTTGACAGCTTGCTTGATTGTAGTATAACTAATTCTTTATAATGATTCAATTGATTCGGTGCGTTCACCTATCTATTGCTCGCCGTAGTCTAATGACTCCAGAAAGGACCGTCGGAATTCCTCGGATGGTCTCTTGGGTTGCTCTTGCTCTTGTTCTTCCTTCATTCTCTTTTCTTGGATTTTTCTTATTCGCCTCATGTTGACCTCCCTGGATCCCTGTCTTCGAAAGACGTTGCCCACTGCCTTTTTCAATGGCGCAATAATCGATCCTCGCTTACTGCGACGAGCCGCTCGACCACTGACCGGTTGTTCTCCATCTTCACTGGTGCGTTCGTGGTCTCCCGAGTATCGGCCCGGTGGTTCTGGGAGACGAATGGATTCGGCGGCCTGTGCGTTAGCTTTGGCCAACGCATCAGCGTCGGCTTGTCCCATCATGCGCGCCATGATGCGAGCGTTGCGAGTGGCATCTTGACTGCACTTGGCAAGTGACTCGGCAGTAAGAGAAGCTGCTTCGCGAAGTTCCCGTTGCAATAACAAGACTGCACAGCGCGACGCCACGGCGTTTTCGACGACCTTTTCGGAAATCATGTTTTCCAATCCACGACGTGAGTTGCCTACATCGGTCCACTTTTCGAGTGTGTTGGAATGGTCATGGACGTCTTTCATTCGTTCGTCGACTTCCTCTTCGGTAATGCTCTTGGCGAGATTGGTCGCGGACAGGAATGCTTTGTTGTAGAGGACTGTGCAAATGACTTCTTCCTGGTACTGTTGACTCTCCTTGACCATATACATGGCATTCAATTCGACAGACTCTAGATCCTGTTGACTCCACCAAATATCGTCCGCTGTAGGCTCATAGTCGCTGTCGTCGTCTGAGGCACCCGCGAATCCACCCACGCCTCCCGTACTGGCTCGTCGTTTATTCTTTTTATTCTTCTTTTTCTTCGGGCGTTCCACGGCGATGTCTTCTTCCTTGATGATGGTGATTTCCGCGGCAAACCGCACTTTGCTGCTCGGTGTGGGGTCCTCGTCAAAACTCATGGATGGTTCTTCCACGGCCTTGCGTTCGTCGACAATGGCCATGTTGGACAGCTGCAGGGTGGGACCATCCTCGACCGATGCGTTTGTCAGTTCGGCCGATATGGAGAATTCCTCGGACGATTGCACACAGGTGGGAGCCGTGTTGGAACTCGACTTCACGGCCTGTTGCGGATCGTTGACTACTGTTGATGCTGATGATTCCATGGTGGGCTGTGTTATGCTTTCTTCGGCTGTTGGTGTTGAAATTTTTTATGAATTGGGCGAACGGGTTATGAACAAAATGGGCTGTTGTCGCCTCAGGCTCTGCAAATACAAGAAAACTGCACAAGGGCTGCAAAACGCTGAATGACAAGGAAAGACGCCTTGCTATCACCAACTACACAAGGCACTTCGCTTATTGATAGATAGATGACGACGCTGGTGATTGACTTGCAACAATCATTCCGCTCGGCTTCGTCTTGCTTGCTGCCTCTGCGCTTTTGAGGTGGGGCTGAAACTGCATACACGGAAGCGCAGCCTACTGTTTGCAACACAGTGGTTGTGCTGTGAATGGTTTCTCATCACTGGGAGCAGAAGAGCTCACAGAGCAGAATCCTGAGCTTTCCTGCACAGCAGCCTGGACGAAACGTTAAACCGATATTACCGCCAAAATGTCACAAGAACTCGTACATAAAGACAGGTGCAATGGGACCATGAGCAGGAATCAAACTTAGTTGGGCCGCCCAAATAAATGATCAAACTGTGACCAGGTGCTTTATCTAGATGCTGATAAATAAATGAAGTCGAAAGACTGGAAGTACATGCACCCGAGCTTTCTCTTGGCTACATCAAAGTAAACATCAACAAAGAGCTTTGATGGACCTCAAGATGTTACTCCAGTAATTTCCAATTGATTTTGTGGGGGGAAGATTTCCATGGACCCCAGCCAATAACCTGGTGGAAGCGAGCTTGAACAGAGTTCCAGTGCTCTCTTCCAGTCGAGCTTGGACAGCTACATGGATGTTGAGCTGACGAGGGACTGTTGAGTGTGAGTGACTTCACGGAGGCAGGCTTCTTTGTTGCCTTCATATTATTATAGCGCCTACAAGAAGTTCTTTCGTCCCAGTCTAGCTCGCTCTAGCTAGAGACTTGTGTTCGTGCTTCAAGTGGCTGTTGCCTTGGTGCTTTACATGTATTGCATAACCAAGTCGTTCGGTAATAATAGTCACTGGGAAAAAAAACTTTCAAACAGACAAACAGTGCTCAAGGCCAAGCAAGAAGGCACCATGGTATCGGTACATGAAAGGACAGCCAGCCGGAGGCTAGTGCCCTCAACTTGCATTTTTCTAAAGGCCAAGGAAGGGTTCTGGACCGGTAGCCTTAACCTTGCAAGGGAAACCATACCTTATGTACCGGTAGCCTTAACCTTGCAAGGGAAACTGCACCATATGTACGCGACACACACACACACACACACACACACACACACGCACAAGATAAAGTTCAAAAGGCCCTCAGCTTGCTAGCTGGTAGTTGAGGGCAACTGAGATCACAAGCAAAGCACTGAGACCGGGTACATGTGACGGCTATAAGGGGTATTAGTATCTTGGGTCTTGGGGTTTGATCAATACTGTACGTACAGGATGTAGTTCTTGCACCCCAAAATGGAGAGGCTTTTCGATAAGTCACGGCTTCTCCAAGGAAATTGTTCGGAAGCTCTTGGTGAGTTGGTGGCAGAAAACCATCTTTACAGTGGGTATGCAGCGTTCGGCTTTCTGATTCATTCCATGTCTCATGGACTTAGGTCATCAAGAAATGGGATATAAGGGCGATGTGCAGTCCAAGACCAACAAAACATCTGCTACAGGAAGACAGTTTTTGATGGGTAGATAAGGTAAACATAGGGTTAAAGTTGTAATAAACTTTGTAACGTATTTGAGTCAAAAACTCTTATTTTACCGCACCTACTGATACCTGATGCCAAAGTTGCTTCAGAAGCTTCAGTCCGGGATGCTGAGCAAGCGTCCGGGACCAACAGAAACCCCACAATAAGCCCTCTCCCTAAATTATATTGAGGCATTCAATTCGAATAGAGTGATTCGAACCAATCGAATCGATTTGAATGTACATGAATGTTCTCGACGTGACCACATCAAACATCCATCACATCATCATAATCCGATCATCGTCAAAGGACCAATGCCTGTTCCTGTCTCTTTGAAAAGCTGTAGGTGTAGTACCAGATACACGTAACTGATGTTGCTTAGTCCTTCTGTATTCTGGGACTAGCTAGCTAGAGTAGCAGGGCGATGGAGGCGAGTGCTATTGCTGGGGGCGCAACGCTTGGGCAAAGTCTGGTTGGCAGCAACAGCGCCAACTTTCACAAAAGTGTAGAGCGGCTCTATGATTCTACAAGTTGGAGTGTTTTGGGTGAATTTGGTGAATCCTATGAAATGGACCAATTCCTCAAGGGCCTGCATTCCCCTGCCCACCAAGCCCTGTTTGTAATCCAGCATGCCATTTCCTGTACAAGCAGCGTCAGTGTGGCACTGCCCCATTGCCTCCACTTTTTGAAACCGTCCCATCAATTCATTGTCCCAAAAAGAAGAGATCCAGAGACGAACAATGAAAATGAGAGAATCTGGCCGTGCGTCTCCTACACAGTGATACCAACAGCCAATGTTGTTCCGGAGGGATGGACCACCTTGACGGACCAGAGTGGTGGCATCAAAGATCCCAATGAAAGCAGCAGCACAAACATGCAAGTACCAACATATTGCTCCAAAGAATATGTGTCCCAAGTTGTCAGTTTGTTGGAGAGATACAACAGCGAAAGTTCGACTTGCAACCACCAAGAAGATCCGATCCAACAATTCATCCAGAAACTTATTCAACACCTCCACTACACCCTTGGAACGGACTTGAGAAATGGTGCTGCCGCAGAGGCTGCCTTTGACTTGTCATTGGCAGGAGTTGTCGTGTCGCCCGACACTGGTGATCTGTATAGCATGCTAGCACATATAGCTGCTTTGGAGCTGGAACGCAAGAGTGGTCGGTCTCTACGACCTGCCAGTATTTTGAGAGTTGTGGAGAAACTGGCCGCCTCTGGACTACAAAACGACAATCCATACGCTGCCAAGGCTTTTGCAGCCGCCTATCGCTCTTTGACAGGGAACAATAAGCAGGCGAAGAAAGGAACCGTGTCTAAGGAATCACTTGAAGATTTGAGGACCGGTCGACTACAATTGTTCTCATTTCGGTCCTTGCATTGGTTGTGGCGTCGGGGTCATTTGTTTCATAAAGTTTCCTCTGTCGACAAGGCTTGCTCCCTGTCGTCAATCGACGCCATAGCATCACTCGATAGCCTCTTTGCGGATCCGACTCTTCCACTGGTCGTGGATGTCGGATGCGGCTTGGGTGTGACCCTTTTGGGTCTGACAGCTGGTCAATCCACAACAAAAAGTCTGCAGCAGCAGCACCTACAGCCAATGGATTGGAGCCAATGCAATTTTCTGGGTGCTGAGTTGAGCTCCCATGCAGTTCGATGGGGCAATGCTATGGCCAAGCGCTGGGAGGTGTCGGGTCGATGTCACTTTCTTCATGTATCAACTGCAACGCTGCTGGATTACCTTCATTTGGAATCAGACCGTTCCCATCTGCAAGTTGCTTGCATCTTGCTACAGTTTCCAACCCCATATCGTCTACAAGGACTCGGCAATGATGAGCTAGAAGAAGAAGAGGAAGGTCAAGACCATCAGAGTTTTGCTGGCAATAATCGTCTTCCATTGGGGCCAACCGATGAGGCCTTCATGGCCAACCCCCAAATTCTGCAGCGTATGGTGGACTTGCTGAATGCCAAAGTTGCAACTACAGATAGTCAGCAACAAGCAGCAACCAGTGGGCACCTCCTTGTCCAGTCAAACTGCGAGGACGTTGCTTTGTATATCTACGATACAGTGCTTTCCATGGGACTTGAGGCCGTGAAAAGCCAAAATCCACGAATACGCTCTGACACTGAAAAAAATGGTTCCACCCCAACAGCCCGAACCAAGGAGTGGCTGCGACTCCAACGAGAGGAACGCGAAAGGTCCAAGAGCCAGGAGACAATTCGCCGTGCCCAAGGCGATCATTGGTCGTCCGGACCAATTCTGCCTGTCTGCACTGAAACGGAAGCGTCTTGTCAGCTGCAAAACACACCCGTTCATCGTTGCCTCTTTAGAGCCACGCAAACATGATGAAGTCTAGGTTTAAGTCCCACAACCGCCCTTCAACAGATGCACCGCCGGTTTAGCATGTTCCAACCCTGCTAGATCTGCATGGACCATCACCACGTGTGCTCAAACCTTGCCAAAGCAAGTTACATGTAGTGGCTGGACCGTTTCTCCAAAAGGTAGCTACACCGATTTCAAGCAAGCAAGTTGACAACCCAGATGCTTTCCCTTGCTGGCACGTGCAATTGTCTAGTTCGGGTTGGCTGTGAAGTTGAGTGACAAGCCGTACGTCTTGACCAGTCCTAGACTACTATTGTCTATCCAAGCAAAGCCAAGAATCCTACTACCGGTAGCTAGAATGAAGGGCTGGTTCCAGGCAAGCTAGCCAACTCATCAAGGATCCAACCTGCCAGAGGAAGGATGCCAGCCAAAGGACCAGGATCGTGCGATCCTGCAACCCGAGGGGCCCGTTTCTTTTACCTTGACTGCGCCGAAATACCTAACTATCGAACTACCACCTAAATGTAGACCTGAGTTGACAGACGCCAACCAAAATGGTTTGTTTGGAGGTTGGCTAAGTGGCTCGCTGGAATGCTTCATGGGCACAACGCACAAACAGCATAACAGCAGCAGGGAAGCTAGGTCTCCTGTTCACAAGCGACTAAAAAGCTTGCAAGAAGACCCAGTGAGGTCTTGGGTTGTTTGAAAGTTGCGGGAAACTGCACCTGGTGTGAGTCATCCATGTCCAAATCCTTTTTTCTTTTTTTGGACAAATAATGGCTAAAAATTGAAGAATGACTGAATGTGGAGAAGGATCAACGAAAAATCACGTATAAATGGCTACCAGGTGCTCAACCTGGAAGAAAGGAGGATTTGGAAGCTTTCTGGAATTCATCAGCAAGGCTCAAAGTGGCATAAGATACAAAAAGCCCATTCCCCGCAACTCCCTTGGGTTTCCTTCCGAATGATCCCTGCACAGACGTGGACTTCTCCTTTTGGCCAACCAACTTACAGCTCTGAAAGCCGAGGATCTCTTCTTCCAGGTTTCTTTGCTTCATTTTTCTTTCATTTCACACGATCTCTCTTGACTTCTGGAAGAGGTAATAGTGCCAAACGCCAACAATGAGCGAAGATGAGAAACACCCCAAGAAGACGGCATCCCTAGCAGAGCAAGAGGAAGGCAACAATGCCGACCGTGACTGCAATGAAACTGTTAGCTGTGGTGGATCTTCCTTGGAAGGTTCCAGCGAATTTGCTGATGAGGAAATGGCGACCAAGGACAAGCCAAGCGGACTTGAGCGGTCTCATTCGCTAGGCGACAGACCGTTGCTTGCCCCTCGCAGCTTTATGCGTCAAGTACGAGGCTCTCTGAGGAGTGCTTGGCGAAGCATGACAGGGCATCCAAGACACGAACCGGAGTCTGAGGTTGGTGGCAACTACGTTAACGCCAATGGCTCTCAACACCAAGATTACAACAACGCAGAGAATCAGGCTAACGAAGAACCTCTTCACCCGAAAATCATTGCCTACATGAGAAATCATGGTGCAGCCAGTCTTGCGAGGCTCCAAGATGAGATTCATGTCCCTGAAGCATCCGTTGCTCCGGCTAGTAGAACTACGTCTGATCCACGGCAATCTCTGCCTGGCGCATACCGCATCCAACCAGGTGGTGTTGAGCGAAATGCTTCTGACTTGGTGTCAAGACACAGTTGTGATGCGATGACCTTGTATTCTGTCGACAACAATAGTTATCAGCTGGCGGTCCGGTCCACAATCCACGTCCCTCGGGCCAGCTTGGTGGATGATGGTCCAGGCTCCAGACCAGACGAACCCCAAGTTTATCACGCCTCACCTGTGCTGGTGCAGGATGGTATGGAAGATGCATTGGTTCTTACTCGTCGCACTCTTCGTTGCTTCATCCTGGCAGCCTTGTTGATTCTCGCGACGCTGTGTACAGCTCTGTTTTTTGCTCTCACTGCTACTAGTAATCAAGGTGCCGGCGTCGCGGGTTCACTGTCTCCCAGCCGCAGTCCGACATACCAAGCACCACCGGCTAGCGAGGACGTGACGGAACCTGGGCTTGGTGGTGTACATGAATACAATCCAGAGGTGATAGTCAACCACGAGTCTTCCGGGATGAATGATGAGTTGCCCAATCTCGAGTCCATCCTCACCGTTGAAAAGACTGTGCTTCCAGGTATGTATCAAGTGCCAAAAAGTGACTGCAATTTCTAGTCCTTTTCTTACTTCTATAGTTTATTCCTTGTTTGTTGCAGCAAGCACAGGCCCAAGCTACAGCCCTACAGATGCACCGCAACAACAAACGTTCAGCATGATTCCAAGCTACACTCCAACTGATCAAAAGACCGAAGAAACTGCAACTCCCACAATAGTAGAGACCCAATCCTCTGTCGCTCCTTCTTTGCACCATTCAACAACTCCTTCTTCGGCTCCCTCAATCGCCCCTTCACAGCATCCGTCAATCGCTCCTTCCCATCTTCCTTCTTCGGCTTCTTCAAGTCCCACGGTTTCGCTCACGGCTTCTCCTTCATTTAATCCTTCCATTGCCCCCACTCCAAAATCGACAGTTGAACCACCGACAATTCCAATTCTCACCGAGGCGACTATTTCTCCTACTCAGCAACTCCACTCATCGCTCCCAACAATTCGCCCGAGTCTGGAAGAGACTACTCTTCGACAGACACAACCGCCGACGCAGATCAAAGTCCCCCCGACCTTGCCGTCTTCAGCACCGTCGACTCGCCGAACGGGCTCGCCTTCTTCGTCGCCAACCGAAGATCCCAGCACACAAGCTCCAAGCGATGTGCCAACGACAAATCAACCCTCGCAACCTCCATCCCAGGTCGCGACGATTCCGCCAAGCGCGGTCCCTACAACCGAAGCACCTACCCGTCGACCCTCCCCACTTGCAACCTTAGCGCCATCTGTGCAACCAACATCATATCCAACGTCCAAGCCAACCCCGGCTCCGATCTCTACGATTAGCATCTCCATTCAATTGACTCAGAGACCATCCGTGGCAGCAACAAAGTCGCCATCTGCCGAGCCAACTCCAGAGCCAACGCCATCACCAACCCCAGAGCCGACTCGGGCAAACTTTGGTGGAAACAACGGCGACGGAGGTAACAGCAACAATGATAATACAGGGGCAGCCGCCCAGGCTCTTCCTAGTGATTCAGAGCTTTCCGGCGCCGCAGCCTCAGACCGCAATGGTGGAAGCAGCAGCAGCAGCAGCAACAACGGTCAGTCGTCTTCCAACAATGACAACGACGGACGTGGGAATGATGGCGGCGACAGAGACAATGGAAACAATAGAAACAATGACGGCGATGAGGTAAGTTCAAGGAGGACTGTTTTGCATCTTGTCTTTCGTCATGCCAAAATACTCAGTTCCTGCTTGCGCGTGCTTCAGAATAACGGTGGTGGTGGCTCAGGAGGAGGTGGATCTGGCTCAGGAGGTGGATCCGGGGGAGGTGGCTCTGGGGGAGGCGGTGGATCCGGAGGAGGTTCAGGGGGAGGTGGATCTGGCTCTGGAGGAGGCGGTGGATCCGGAGGAGGTTCAGGTGGATCTGGGGAGGGGTTGGGGGAGGTGGCTCTGGAGGAGGCGGTGGATCCGGAGGTGGATCTGGAGGAGGTTCAGGGGGCGGACGAGGCGGATCTGGGTCTGGAGGAGGTGGATCCGGAGGCGGCGGCGGATCTGGAGGAGGCGGTGGAGGTGGAAACATGAGATTGCGGAGAGAAAGACGTCTTCCCAGTCTCCATGTCTTGTAATCATGCAGGTTGTCCTGATAGTTCCAGCACAATTTCCTATCCATGGTCCGAAAGTTGAGAGTCACGTCAACTTTACCGTCAAGAAATCGAAATCTGCTTCGATGGCCCTTTTGCTTCCTTTTTGGGTGGAATTTAGTTTCTTTATCAGCCAAGGGACGTTTGGATCACATTCTATCAGTGCAGCCCTGGGCATGCATTTGCCGCCTGGAACACAACAGTGGAAGAGAATAAAGAAGGGGCAGAAAGCAAGATTCTGTCAAAAAGTTATGAAATTTTTTTTCAAATAAACTGCCATCCTAACAAGCAAGAATGCAACCCTGTTGGACATAATGAAGTCGGAATAACCAGCTAGAAGAATCTCTCCAAGTCGCAACTGTCAGACGAGCAAAAACATTGCAGGTGAGAAGAATGGTTCATTGGTTCCTCCTCTCCCATCATGCTTGTTAGTGCCAGTTGAACCGGCACGGCATTAGTCTAGGTGTCTGGGCATGAATGACAAGATCTGGTTTGTTGGCTGTTTCGTTTAAGGATCAACGGAAAGCACTAGTATGCACCGGTGGGCCTTGGAAGGAGGTGATGTGTCACCTTGGTACATGTTTTCATGTTATTATAGGTCTCATAGGCATCCTGTTTGCTTTAGTTAAGTCCAATGGGTGCCCACTTGAGTTTCAGCATCTTGGTTTCAGTGGCAAAAGTACCATATGATCGACCCACTCACTTTAGGTGAGCATTGGATTTGATTGTTCAGCTTCAAAGATCTCCAACTTTACCTTCAAGAAATCAAAATTCCCCTTCAGCAACCCTTTCGGCTTCAGTTTTGGGTGAAGACCAGTTTTTATTCAGCCGAAGGTAAGATTTGGATCACGTTCTATCAGTGCTTTTCAGCCCTAGCTATAGGCATGCATATCCTTGAACACAACGGTGGAAGAGAATGAAGAGAGAGAGAGAGAGCAAAAGCAAGATTCTGTCAAGAAGTGATGTAACCTTGCTGCAAATAAAATTGCCTCCTAACAAGCAAGAATGCTTTGCTGTTGGAAATAATGAAGTCAGATTAACCTAGAAGAATCTTTCCAAGTCACAAGTGCAAGACAAACAATACCGATGCAGGCAAGAAGGAAGGTTTCTCATCTCATGCTAGTGCCAGTTAAACCGGTACGGTATTAGTCTAGAAGAGGTGCCTGGGCATGAATGACAAGATCTGGTTAGTTGGTTGTTTCTTGCTTCTAAGGATCAACGCAACGTAAGAACCGGTTGATTTGTCCCTTCATACGCGTCGTCATGTTGTCCCTTCATACGCGTCCTGTTTGCTTGACTTTTCGTCCAATACCTGGAGTAGAGACAGGGCATCGGTAGGTGCCTTGTTGCTTTTCAGTACGGTATCATTATTTGTTGCAGTGGCAAAAGTGCCGGTATGATGGACCGTCCCACTTTTGGTGAGCATGGATTTGGTTGTTCAAGCAATCCTTTAACAGCTAGAATGGGGCTTCAAAGGTCTGGAGTAGGGATCCAAAAGACAGGGTGAGGATCAAGTCACATTATGCTGTAGGTTGAGATGACCAGGAAGTCAAGGCTGTAGGTCGAGATGACCAGGAAGTCAAGGCTGTACGAAGACTTCCATGCCAAGCTTTTGATCTCCAGTACCAGTATCCAGTAAAGAACTGCCCGTACTTGCGTTTTAACATGCCTTCAATGCGTGCAACACAAGCCGAACTCTGAAGCGCTATCAGCCACTTGAACTTCCGTGAGAACCTTCTACCTATCTGTGTCCTCCCTGCCCTCTCCTTCTCGCTTTGGGGAGCTCTCCTGTGCCTCGGCAGCGATGGCTGGATAGCCAGTAGCTGCCAGTCTACGTACGTCAAGCGTCAACTCATAGGGCAATCGGATGAGTATTCTAAAAAGGTAGGTATCAGTATCGGATGCACTCTGCCGGTTTGAGAAGCTGTTGGGGATGTTGAGATCCCCAAGAATTCTGTGCTGGCTTTTTGGTTCCGTGAGTTCATCCTTCTTCAAGTGTGTTTCAAGAATTGAATTAGTGCTGCCTCCAACCTCTAATCAAAAGCTACTCAGACAGGTTGTACCAACTCCCCAACACAATACACGGTTTAAGGAACGAATGCCTCTTGAACCAAGACTCAGGACATCAAGACTAGTCCGAATAACCCTGGTGATGCATTGAAAGAACTGCGGAGTTCTTGTCAACATCATTCTAAGTCTGTTTTCGGGCTTTCTGCCCAAAGCAGACATCTAGCGGACACACAAGAAATCGTAATTGCCAGTTTCGGCCCAGTATGCCCCAGCTAATGGCCCAAAGTGTGAGGTGGCAACAATGCTGTCGTCATTGCCGATTGCGGTATTCTTTGGTTTGAACATCAACTGCTTTGGAATTCATCGATGGCCTTGGGATTCTTTGCCTAAACTCTCACAAAAACTGATTGACTCTCATCGACAACAGCAACAACCAAAATAAACACAGAAGGAGCCATCACAATGACATTCGACGAAGCCACCAGCAGTAGCTCGACAAGAATCCTGATGATGAATGAGGCGGACATTCCCGGCGACTACATCTGTCCCTTGACACTGGAGCTCATGGAGGATCCATTGGTGAGCCGCTACGGCCACAGTTTTGAACGAGAAGCCATTCTGGAATGGCTGAACCTTGGCAACACAGAATGTCCCTTGACGAAGAAGCCACTGACCGCGTCGGGCCTGATACCCAATGAACGGTTGCGAGCTCGAATTGTGGGTTGGAGAAGATCCAATGGGTACAAGCTTCCAGAACGAAAAGACTCTCGTGATTACTACATGCAACAAGAAGAGGATCCTTCCACTGTAACAGGCATTCTCGTGGTGCCATCTCAAGCTAAGCATACAACAGCAGCCGAAGAGGCCGGTCGCCGACGAGGACGACAGGGAATTTTCCGCCGACTCAAAAAGTCCCTACGAACCGCTACAGTTTCCCAATAAGCAGCAACTTAAATAATAGACGCATGCATGTTTATTTGACTCTTTCTCGCATTCCACTTCTAGCTAGATTTTGTCCGCCTCGCAGTCGTGCATGCTTACCCTTGCATGTCAACCTATCCGACTGATCGCAGGCAGCTTCAGACTTGAAGTGGCTTGGCCCTCCAAGGCAGTATGGCTTCCGGTGACTTGGCGCTCGGCAGCGGTACAACAACAAACAACAAGCTGGCTCAGTGTGATTTGCAACTGGTGGGTTGATTCTGATTCGATTCGATTCAATCGAATAGTTCTACATGTGAATGTCTGAAGGGAGCTGCCCAGTCACAGTTCCCGGTAATAGAGATCAATGGCCCTTATTGCTTTGCGCATCACTTGTTGTTAGACTGCCGCACATACAGCTTACGTTAAACATTGGCCAATTGGCCAAGGAACAGGCAACTTGGAACTTGGAACCAACTAATCATCAAGCCACCAAGCCACCTGAAGCTGCAACGCTGAAACCTCTCACAAACTCAAGAACCCAAAAGCCATAATAGCAAACTCATTCATTGGCGCCGGTGTACATGTAACCTACTAGCTAGTAGTCCAAAAACGAAGGTTACTCTTACCCCAGTTCTGACAGGCTCATCAATGGCTGCGTCGCCCAAGGAATCCACTTTGAATGAATCAATTGCTTCTGCATCTGAGAAATACCTTCATTCACAACCTGAACCATAATCTGCTCTCTACAGCACGAATCAGTGCATCTGCTGGTGCTTGAACTATTTCCTTATGTTTTTGTTCATTTCAAACCTGGGACAGACATTGCTTCTTCGTGCCCCCAATACGTACCTACATCCACGAACAGTTGGAATGCTTGGATGATGACAAGAGAGGCAATGCCATCATATAGACCCTGCAGCATAGTGGCACTACTGTTCAGCCCAACTCTACGGATCCACTGATATCATCTTCAAATACATTGGAAGATGCAACTTCTCTTTCAAGCATCAACAGCCTCCAGTTTCCCATCCAGCTTGTGGCAATCTTGCATATATTTGGGAGCTCGTGTTCCGCAAGAAGTTGGGCCTACCTTTGCCGGTTCATCACCTTGTCACACTCTTGCTTCTCCAACTAAGCAGTGTGCACAGCTTCTTTCAAAATGTCATCTACATGCAAGTTGCAACTTTGTTGACCTTTCACACAATTACTGAGCAGCTGAGCTTCCTTGCACGCCCGGCTCAATTCATATGAACAAGGGCAGATGTTTGGTTCTACCTCTCAGCTGCTCCGTCTCTATTGTTCAAGACAGCTGTGGCTATTGTCTTGTGGCTATCGTGTGTGTTTTTTTCTTCTTCTTCATTTTAGCTGTATGGAGGGCAAGGTCCCCGCAGACACAAACTGGGGGCTGTTTTGGACACTTTTCATGGCACTCATGCTTGCTGTGGTGTATGTAGCCCAAGTCTACTCCTCCCTGATCTTGTACAGACTTGTACACGTCATGGGTAACTTTGTGCGACTATCCAAAAGCCTGATACAGAGCAGGGTAAAGGACAGTACTCCTGCATCAAAGACTTTGTTCCAAGCAGAGAGTGAGAATTGGTTGGCTGAGTATGAGACCAACAAGCCAAGTATCCAGAGGACTTCAGAAAAGTCAAATCAACCAAGCTCTTTGGATTGGACCAAGCCACAGGTGCAGAAAGGTTATCCGCAAATTCAGATTCTCACATTTGCAAGGCGTGAGGATGATCAACTCTTGTTTTCAATAAGCATCGTTAGGTTAAACAATAACTCATTTACATCGGGAAAAGGCACCCCAAACCAAGACTTTCAAAACCTATTTATCACCCAGTACCTGGTACTGTACTTTGTGTTCAGATCATTTGGATACTGGTAGTGCTGCAAGCTAGCTAGCGGAAGTACCGGTACCGTACCCAAAAACTCGCCACAGAGCCCACGAAAGGCCGGTCCAGTGGAACCTTGGGCCCAGTTCAGTTTGGCAGCCATACAGACCAATGAGCCTTCATCCCGCATCGCATTGCAAAGTTTGCATGCAAGCTCTGAAAGCTCTCAATGAACTGCAATGGGTTTGTCGGGATTCCGTGGGTTAAGATCGGGCCACTCCAACCGGAAGTAGATACGACTGTACCGTTAGAAGGTTGAAGTCTTCGTTGGCCCCTTCCACGATGTGTTGGTGTGGTTTACTCAGCCCACCATCGATCGACGAACACGATCCTCCTTTTGAATAGCAATAATATTGCTATTTTGATGAGTGAGTGAGTCGCAGCAAATCCCGAAGCAATGGCACTTTTACTCAAAACCGTTTCCTACCACTGCAGCCAGACAACAACTCATGCTCGACATAGATACTAGCTAGATAGATGGACGCTATCGATAGACAACTCAGCAGGTAGTCTACTAGCTAGCTCCCAGTTGATCGATTGGCTTGGTAGAGTTCGTTGTACCATGGAGGAGCATCGAAATGCGGAGAAGGTCGATAAGAGCCTTTTGGCGACCCACTTGGAAAGTCCTTCCAGGTTGAGCCGAGAGTTGCCTTCAGCTGATGAACCCCTTGCCAAAGGCCGAGAGACTGAAAAGGAGACGTCAAGAAAATCTCCGGCGTTGGAAGGAACGTACTCTACGGACGACACGGCGGCCAGTTTGAGTTTGTCGTCCCACGGTTCTTCTTTGCCTATGGATGTCGTGGAAGTTGACGTGGATGAAGAAATCGCGAGACAACAAGAACAACAGTCTATGGAAAAGGAAGAGCAAGACATCACCCAATCTGCTACCGCTCGTAGTAGTAGACAAAGAGAAAGCCTTGTCATTGATGTGGATAGCCTGGCACTTTCACGGAATACTGACGACGAGAAGAAGTCAAGCACGGCAATGAGCGAAAAAGAGCGTCTCTTGCACCAACAGATGCTTCCCGAGTCTTCCGTGGAAATCGATAAACTCGCCGAAGCCATGCGGCTGCTAGATTCCTTTGGTGCCAATCGACTGCCAGTCAGACGGGTGGCAAGTCAAGAAGAAGGGGCAAGGCGCAGACCAAAAGGCCAGAGACGCTGGCAGAGCTGTACCGAAGAAATGATTCTTGGGAATCCTCTTCAATCACACAGACTCGAAGAAGACTCTACAAAGAGAATAGATGATGCAAACGAAGAAACCAAAATGGAGGAAACCGAACCGAGACCTCCGGAACAAGCCCCGGATTCCAACTCGTTTGCCAGTGGTGAACAGAATTCCTACGCGGCTCGGGTGGCACGAAAGCAGCAGCGTCTCGAAGCATCCTCCTCGGCCACAACTCTGGAAAACAGTCCCCGCGCATCGTCACCAGGGACGCGAAGAACCACAGAGAACACGGGCAAACGGGCCTTTTTTGGAGACATTCACGGCGAAATTGCAGAGGCACAAGCAAGGGCGCAAGAGTCCAGGCGAAACCTCAAATCCAGTCAAATGGCGCAGCAGCCAACAATGGCACAACAACAGCCAAGGCCACCGTTAGCACGCAATGCTTGGAACTCCAAGCATAGCGTTGCTACTGAAGGAAGTGCCGTGTCCAGCATGGATGATACATCCGTCTACTCCGTGACCACCGAAAGTGGATCCAACACTCATCATCAGAGTGCTACTACTGCGACGACGACAACGCCCAATCAACAAGAAGCAAACGCACAGCTATCATTGTCTCAGCATGCCAGTCGTCGCCGAATGACTAGGGGGGGTTCTCAAGCATCCCTACCTGGAGCTTACCCAGCGACAGGACGAGCTCCCTTTGCCAATCCGAGATTTCGCGGGGGAGCGGTCACGCTGTTTGGAGAAAACATCACTGCGAGTAGTAATCACGAGTCTTCCACGGGTATGGGTGATATGAGCCAAAGCTATTATGGCTTGGGCTTGAGCAACTCTTGTGGTCGTCAACAGCAGAGACGCCGATGGGATGAATCTACGGGGGAAAGTAGTGAAGCCCATAACAACAGTCGATCTTTGATGATGAGTGAAGCTCATTACAGTCGAAGTTTGCATACGGATGCCAGTTTTCGAACCAACGAGAGCAGTGAAATTAACCCTGAACGGAACTTGGAAGCTTCTGCAAACGACGACGGCGACAATCCTGGAGAAATTGTAGCCGTCTGTGTTGAGGAAGATGATCTCGAACAGAATATTCGAGAAGAAATTATACAGTCAGCAGCTCAGGCAGAGGTGGTGGAGCAGACAGAAATGGCAGAACTGACAAGCAAGAAGAAAGAATTGCAGCAACTCAAGTATGTCACCTGTTTTTTGCTATTCTTTGTGGTTATTTCTGTTGCAGTGGGATTGGGGGTAGGGTATATGGCGAAAGCGAGTGAGGCGGAGAGAAAGGAATCGTCTGTGGCCAGCGACGATGTTGTGTTTATGGAACCTTCGGCAAGTCCGACAATGACACCCATCCCAACGTTGGAAAAAGTGTACGCATCTGGCGTGTTGCGGTGTGGCATCTACGAGACAACCGGATTTGACGAGGAGTCGGGGGAACGATTTGGAGTAGATGTCGATTGGGTAAGCCAACTGATCTTTGGGTAGATTGCCAGTTCTGTTGAATCGAATCTTCTCACCCATATTTCTGAATCGAATAAATTTTGAAAAGTGCCGAGCGATAGCCGCTGCGATCATGGGGCGAGATTCTTATGAAATCGTCCTGATTGATGCGACTTTTGCAGATCGATTTGAGCTCGTTGCGAATCGCACTGTCGATGTTCTAACTGCCAGCTCAACTTTCACCATGGATCGCAATGTTTATGAGGTAAGAGATGTCGATGCAATCCCTCTTGTGACGATCTTCTTCAGGTCAAGCTGAAAAATGTTTCGTTCTTACATTTTATTTTGCAGGTTGGAGTTGAAACGGGCTTGACGTTTTCTCCACCTTTCATGTACGATGGCCTGCGTTTTGCAGGACCTGAAGGCCCGGTTGCGTGTATGGACAATGACATGGAGAACTTTGGCCCAAACTGTCGGGATATCAAGGTGTGCGTTGTAGGGGGGTCATCGTATCACGCCATACTTGCATACCGATTACCGAAGCGACAAATCCATGTTGTAGACGGTTGGCAGTCCATGTACGGGGGTCTGAGGGATGGCCTCTGTAATGTAATCGCTGCTGAAGGGGTATCGCTGGGAGTGCAAAATGTCAGAGCGTTTGGATACAATTATAGCTATGTCACAGGCCGCAGTCTCTTCTCCAAGATACCGCTGTCAATGGTCACTCGGGATGACGACCCAACTTTCTCAAACTTTGTCCACAGTGTGCTACATTCAGTGTTCGTGGCAGAGCAAGTTGGTATCACGCAAGAGACAAGTCACTTAGTTCCGGATACATTCATATCGGGATCAGAGTTATTTGGAGATCGATTTGCGAACATGTTTGAAGATGCAATCGCCATAATTGGAAACTACGGGTAAGAAACAGTCGCTACGCTACTGCTGGTGTGTGCAGTTCTCTTCTATCAAGCTCAATCTTGTTCCTAAAACTCGCAGGGAACTCTACGACCGGCATGCCGCTTCGGGTAAGTGCAAGGAATTGTCCTTCATTCCTGTGTCGTTTTCTGTCATTGTCCTCAGGCCTTTTCCTGCTACTTCTAGCTGTGGCTCGCGAAGGTTTGACGCTGTTGAACAACGGCAGCACAGGTCTTCTGTTTGCATTTCCGTTTGGTTTGGTGGGCAACGATGGCCCTGGACCTGTGAGTGGCGGGACGATAGAGAGAATACTGGAAAGCGGTGTTCTGAGATGTGCGGTGGTGGGCGGACGTCCTGGTTTTGCAGAGATGGCAGAAACGGTATCCGAAACAGCGAATACCAACCTCACCATAACAGGTCTCGATGTGGACTTTTGCCGCGCTTTGGCAACCAGCCTCTTCTCAGGTTCAGTGGATCTCGTTGAACTGATTGAAGTGCGCAGCGAGGCAGAAGGGTATAAGGTGTTATCAGAGGGCTACGCGGACGTGTTTGCGGGGGCACACTGGACCTTGCAAAATGATGTAAGAGAACCATCCACTGGAGTAGGATATTCTTTTTCCCAGCCCTACTTCTATGGCGAAGGAGAAGAAAACTTGAGTCTCGCGACAAGGGAAGATGATGGACAATGGTCAAAATTCTGTTTCTGGATTGTAGCGTCAACTTTCTATGCAGAGGAGAATGGCATTGACCAGAGGCTATCAAACTCGATGCCCTCCGTATACCTATTTGGCCCCCAGGTACGTTCTTGTTTGTATGAATCAACGCAACAGCTTGCTCTTGCTCTTGCTCACAACACGGGCTTGTTTTGTACATTGATACACATCAGTTTCTGCGGATGCTCCGTGACCCAATCTTGGAGTTGGGCAACTATGGCGGTAAGTCGATCGATGCCATTTGACCTTGTTTCGCTTCGTGCGTCTACCAGGTACCGGTATCCTCATGGCTGCCGATTTTTGCAGAGCTTTATGAAAGAAATGTGGGCCCGCATATCCCAAGGGGGGGCAGAAACGTTATCAATAGCATCCGCACACCAGGCCCTCAGTTCTATCCAGTTCCTGGTTTGCTTCGCGATCTTTCTCCATGAAGTAAAGCATACGGTAGACTAGAACGACCTTGCACTGCTACGCCCAAGAATGTACTTTATCTCGTTCGATCCTTGTGCCACCGCTTCGCGTGGAAAGACATCATGATAGCTTACCATCCGTAACATTGGGCACCAGAGGAAGACGTCGTTTTGTTCTACCGGTATCGTCGAAGACCTCAGAACCTCGCACTTGTCTTTGGAGACCCGATAAACAACTACAAAAGCGCACGAAATGGTTTCTCTGCAGGAAGGTGCCAAGGACGATGAAGCGCTCAAGGTTGGCTTTGGTACGATAAAAGTCATTCATGTTTAGTGATGCAAAAATATATTCAGAGGGCGCAAACACGCAATCCAGTAAGCCCGCAGCGGAGATCGAGCCGGGGGCTAATTGGTTCGGGAGTTGTCAAACAAGCCCCCAAACAGTTGACTGCGGCTTTCAAACAGGCCCCCTAACAGTCCACTGCGGATTTTGGAGCTGGCGACTGGCGTGGAAGATAATGCATAGGAGGCCCGTTGGCGGCGTGAAGCTCGTCGTTGTCGGCGTGACTGGACGACATCTCTTCGGTGACATCAGTCAGGACCGTCATTGCTGATTTCCGTGACTTGTTCACCCAGTAAGTCTCCATCCTGCCTTTGCCCTTCACGTTAATCTTGCCCCGATAGGTAAGAGGAATCTCACATCCTTGTTTAGTGAGTAGTTCAGCTGCCTGGAAGGAGCAGTGAATGCAGTTGGGTTGCGAGTTGCTCTCCATCCTGCTGGCGGTATTGACGGCATCGCCAAAGAGGCAATAACGTGGGTTGCGGTTGCCCACGACGTCGGAAACAACTACGGGTATGGCAAAGTAAAGTGCATCGGTGAGGAAGCACATTTCTACATGTCACCTCTGGGCTCAATTGCGTCCTCTGCTTGTCTTACCAGGACCCGAGTGGAACCCAACACGAATGTTGACATAGCCTTTGCTGTGGTCATCTACATCGACAAGAGTTTCGTTGGCGGCCTTGAGAGCTTCCACTGAAAACTGTGCAATGCGAGTGGCATGGGTTGCAGACTGATCTTTGACGAGATTGGTCACTGCCATGTATGCTGTCATTATAAAAGGGAGCATTCGTAAGTCAAGAGTTCCGAAGAGCCACATCGGCCACCCTTGCATGCCACGAGCACTTACCATCTCCTATGGTCTCTACTTTGAAGATGTCGTGCTTGGTGGATAAGTCATCGAACTTGGAGTAAAGTCGGTCGAGCATGTTCGCAACCTTTTGCGGCTCCAGGCTTTGCGAGATCCTGTGGCCAGAGAAGAGAATAATGTAAGATTATTGACGATAATACATTCGATTAATGGAACCCATGCGTACCCTGTGAACCCAACAATATCGCAGAAGAAGATTGTGACGACCTCGTGGTGTTCCGCCTCGACTTTCCTTCCATCTCGAAGAGCCTCGGCGATGTGTTTGGGGAAGATGTCAAAGAGAGAGACAGAGGAGTTCTTCATAATGGGTTTATCAGACAACAACAAAGTATCAGCCTGCAAGCGGTTGAGACGGCTGTCAATCTCGGCAAAGGAGGGTCGGTCATCAGGATTTGCAGCAACACAGTCCGCCATGAGAGCTGCCAGCTGGTGAGGGCAGTCCTTGGGGACAGGAGGGCGCCTGTTGATGCTGGGATCAGCAACCTGGCGGAGAATCTCATTCAGATCATCACCTTCATAAGGGTCCTTCCTGGAAAAACACTCATAAAGAATGATTCCGAAGGCATACACATCGGAAGCTGTAGTGTTGGAGCTTTCCCTCCGAAGGAGCTCTGGCGCCATCCAAAAAGGAGAACCAGCGGTTGACATTGCCCCTCCAGCTTGCTGCTTCTGGCTCAATCCGAAATCTGCGACTTTGGCCCTTTAATGATCACAAAGTAGTATGTGAGAATGGAGGCCACGCCATTGCCAATACTCTTGGGACGTGTGGAGGCTCACCTGTACTTCGAATCAACAAGGATATTGGCGCTTTTCAAGTCACTGCAAGCAACAGAATGAGACCGGGTGAGGAAATGAATGCGGCAAAGGAAGAAGTATGACAAGCACAACTCACCCATGGACAACCGCAGGATCAGCCGCATGAAGGAACCTGCAGCCTTGGGAGATGTCCTTCAGTAAGGGGAGCAGGATTTCCCCGTCCAACCAGAAGGTCTCGTTGTGAAGAATGTCATAGAGAGAGCCGCTGGCAGTGCGGGGTTGTGGCGAAGGTTTGTGCGAGACTATCGGGTGAGTATCCTGTCGAGATGTAACATGCCACACCTTGACATACGAACACTCACTTGTCCATGTATTCCATGACCAGCATTGGGTCTTCTTTGGATTCAATAACCGCACCTGTTGTACACGAGCAGGCGATTGGCAGGTGTGAGGCACATTTCGAAAACTCTTGCCACGCAACAAGCTTGCCGGGGTTGACTCACCCATGACCATTGTGATGCACTGGGGAATGGATAGTTAAGAATCAAACTGTGAGTCTGGCGCTGGGAACGGATCGACGAAGACACAATATGTAGTTGCCGTACCGGATGTCGGAGCTTGGACAGGTAACGCATCTCACGAATGAAGTCGGCTTTCATAGCTTTGAGGTCTATAGATCCATTCGCGCTACTCCCAAACATTGTCATTCGGCCAAAGAACGAACTCCTGCCTGAAGCAGACCCCGAACGCCCTTGCATCCCGGTCTTGGAAGTAGTGGAAGACAATCCAATGCTAGCCATGCCCCAGGACGAGTGGCCGCGCTTCTTCTTTGGTTGTTCGATATCGTCACCAGAATCATCCAGGCTCAAGGTATCTCGTGTGTCGTCCATTCCTGAAAGTCGAAGGTTCTTTGAGGGGAGCACATGCTTGACAGCAACCTTTGTTCCGCGGTATTCCGCCAGCAGGACTGAGGAAGGAGGGAAAAAGAGAAACGTGTTAGGCTTGGCAACCATTCTCGGACCACGCAGCCATGCTACCGAGGCTCACCTTCCCCAAAACTCCCACTTCCAATGACCTCGGCTGGGTCGGCAAAGATGAGTTCTTCCTTGTTGATCTTCCAGATGGCATCGGCACGCGTCTTGATTGTTTTCATGTACCAGAAGAGCCCTAATCCAATGAGACAGATGGCCAAGAGAGGCACTCCAATAATGGCAGCATAGTTGGGTTCCTGGGGAGCCAGTTCCGGAGGGACGCACTCGGCTTCTTCGCGAAGCCCGACAGATACCATTTCGTCGGGACATTGACAAGACCCTTCCATGGTGCAGCTTCCGCCAAGCACGGTACAAGGGGACAAGTTGATGCAATCCCTCATGGCCCAGGTGGGCATAGGGTAGATCATCTGAAAGTCGTTGGTCTTCAGCTCTTGAGGAGACAGGAGTTGGAGTTTGCTATTGCCATCGTATTGCAACAACAGTGATGGCTGTTTGTTCTGGCCGTTTTCGTCAAAGCTGACGTTGCCAAATATGGTAGGGAAGAATCCACTGGCGATGGTGTCACGAACTTTCTCGGTCTCCATGGTTCCAGCGCGTTCAATGGCCTGAACCAGAACACTGATTGCGGAACTGTGAGAGACGGCTTGATAAGGAGGTTGCTTGGAGGTCGCTTCTTCGAAAAGTTCGTAGAATTCGAGTGGCGTGAGTCCTGTTGCGCCATCCGTGATGGGAGGAAGAGCCCGTTCCCATGGGACTGTACCCATGTTGTAGGCCAGATCAGTGCCTAGCTCCTGCTCGAACTCGTATCTACCGAAGATGCTCGAGTAGACCTGCGCCTTGGGGGACCAGTCAATGCTTCGCATGGCCTTGTTCCAGAGAGAGTACGACGAGCGGATACAGCACATGACAACATCTGGGTCGAGCTTGGAGATGTTTCGAGCGGCTTCCTGAAAGTCTTCGAGAGGGGCACGGTCTACAACTTCAGCACTCCCGACGAATTCGAATCCAAACTGAATTGCGAGTTCTTCTGTGCCGGAGCATTGTGTGCTCTCTTCGCCGATGGTAGCGAAAGTGCGGGCACCAGCTGCGACGAGCGCTGGGAAGGCAGGAAGGCGGAAAGAACCGGAAGGGGGAATGATGCCAAAGACATGATCACGGCCTTCGTAGACCGTCGAAGAAGCAGAGCCTCCGGTGACCATGAGGCGTTTGTTCTCCTGCGCAACTTGGGCCAAGGGACGTACCAGGGTAGAGGAGTACCCAGAGAGCAAGAAGTCGGTGGTGTTGACGATCTTGCTTCCGATCTCGAGAGTCTTGTTGACACTGCCTTCATCCCCATAAGTCTGAATGGCGAGAGAGAAGTTCTTGCCGTCGACGGACACACCGCAACGAGGCCAGCCATTGACCCTGTCCATGGTCAAGTGGATCGAGCGAAGCATGTGCATGGCAAGGTCATAGTGCTTGGTCTGGACGCCCAGCGAAAGAGGATGACTCAACAGGATCTCCCCATTGTACAAACAGTCATGCTCCGATGACTCCAAGAAGTTAGAGTCGACAGCGCTCCTGCGGATACTCACCGTTGCCGCCTCGCAGGTGTTGCTCAGGTTCAATAGTAGAACCGAGGCGGAGAGCCAAAGATAACCAGGGCAGAACTTCATTGTATCTCTTTTTTCTTTTACAGTTTCCTTTCTCCTTGTCTCACGGTTGTAGTTGTGCTGGGTTGGTCGTATTGAAGGATCACTTGACTTGGAAATTGATTTTGTGAGCTAGACTTTAGAATGCGAAGTAAAAAGTTAGTTTTCTTCTATTTTTAAAGGCCACCCAAGAATAATAAAGCCCGAAACTTCGCTGGCACTCGATTTCATCAATCATGTGCTGGACTAGTACCGTATCAAGGATCTTCTTCAGATTTATTTTTGCTCTTCGGTCACTTCTGTGGAATTAACAGAAGCGGAGTTTTCTCGTTCCCAAAACGTACGACACTAATAAAGGCTACTGTATGAGCTATGAGCGGCTCAGTGGACCGTACTGTACCATCACTGGAAGCTTTCTGCTGGGGGAAATTATTCCGTGGCCATTTCGTGCTTTCGGCAACTCGTCATGTCGATCGATAAACAGGAAAGAGAATGTGGCTACAGAATTAACGATCTTCATCAACCATTCAATAAATAAATGCCTCTTGTTCCTGTTCACCGGACATTCGTTGAAGAAGAAGTAAATGTCCAGAAAGTGGAAATTCTTTGAAAGAAGCAAAGCACTATTCACCATGACATGGTATGCGTGTTCAAATTGTGGTCTGAAAAGGATGGTGGGGGATTTCACATCAATAATGAAAGCAACGTTAAGATTTTAGTTTACCCCTTCTCTTCGAAATTGAAAAAGCATGCACACACACTCCTTTTCAGCGCAGCAAAGGCGTAGAAAAGAAAAGAAAAGAAACAGCAGGGAATGCGTGCACGCTAGCTAGTACATTGTAGTAGTGTACTAGCTAGTACCTGTAGGCCTAATAACTACAACAGTTCCATGCAGACAAGCAAAATATAAATAACGGAGTTTAGAGTCCATTATTGCAGTCCTCCAGCAAGAGCCCCGCATCTTCAGAAAGCACTCTTGGAAATGGGTCCATAATACTTTAAAACAATAACCAAGTCTACATCAGTCTATGCCATATGCAGCGCATACGCCATGCTTCGAATGGAACATGAAACAATCTAGCACAGAACTCAGAACTGCCCACGGACATTACGGAAAGGGTTTATACTGCCCACGGACAATACGGAAAGGGTTTATACAAAGAGAGCAAGCGGAGCTGAACCTTTTCGCTTTTTCGACTGACTCTGGATTTATCAGCTGAAGCAGATGCTGCTTCATCTTAAAGCTTTGATGCCTCCAATTGTCGATTCTTAGCTGAGTTATACCAGGCATCTATTTCGATTGCCAAACTACATGTACTAGCTAGCCATGTACCGGTATGTACGACTGTACCAGCAGAGCCATCAACCAAGAGTTAGGAGAACCCCTTCAGTTCCTCAAAGCCTCAAAGCACTTGCGCAGCATTGACACTTTTCCCATCATATTCTTGCACTTGGACCATAAAACAATAACCTTGATGACCACTGGCTGAAGAGGAAGAACCCTGGCAAGGAGCTTGCCTTGTACATGACATTGTATGTAGATCCACCTCCTGCAGTCTCCTACTACTAGTAGTAGTACCAATACTAACACTCCAGAAAGGCAGAGCACACGCGGTGCATCGTTCATCATCATGTTCGCGGTCATCATGTTCGCGGTCATTCGTTAAAGAAGAAGATTCCGTAGAACACGTCAGCAAGACTTTGTGTGTTAATTCGCTGTTCCAGAGCCCAGAAAGACGCATCATCGGAAAGTAAACTTGGAAATGGGAGCATAAATAAAATTAATACGCTGATCGATGCTCCTCCGAGTAGCACTAAAAATTTTTATAAACTACTGGCACTAGACTAGTACTAATAGTACCGGTACAGTACTATTATTAATAGCTGTACTATTAATACTCATGATCAGTAGTACCGGTGGTCCGGTACGTACATGCATTGAAAACGGCTTACATGTAAAACAAACAAACAAGTAGAGAGTGGAACAACCGAATACCAAGACTCTAATAACTCTGGCTTTATCAGCTGCGAGCTTTAGAAATTGCCCGCAAATGGCCAAATCTTTCTCCAAATGGCCAAACCTTGGGTGAGCTTCAACAGGCATCTATTTCCATTGCCGAATTCGACACGAAGAGCCAAAACCTGGAGTTAGGAGAGCCCTTTGTCTCCGTCATAGGGTCAAAGCATGATTAGCACATCATAGTCCTGGTGGATGATGTGAAGGTCACAGCTTGCTTAATGCTTTTGCCGCCAGATGGCTGAGGAGAGGCATTCTCTTCCTCGTGCTTGATGAAGATCCCAGCCAGCATGCTCGCGTTCCCAATGACCATTTCGCCTCTGATTGCGGCTCTTCTACCATTAATTTTCTTGTCTGCTCATAGTGCTAGCTAGAGAGTAAAGGAAAGAGAACCCAAGAGCTCCTTGGTCCCGGCCTGAGCTATTCCAGCCATTGACGACCACGATGCCTCTTGGGAGCGAGCGATCCATCTGGTACTAGTACTAGTACATGTAAACCATTGTGGACATCCTCGGCTTGAAAGCTGTTGAGACGTTCCATGGGATGGTAGCTTTGCCAAAGAACTAGTCTAGCTAGAGCCTGCCCAAGCCATTTCCTTGCCGTTTTGCTTTCAAGAAGCCGGGAAAGAAAAGCAAGTACACGATTGAATCATTCATGGATAGTGTCTCAGTCGCGTCATCCCTTTTTTTTCACCTTCCTCGTGGCGGGAGTACTAGTAGTCTACTAGTATGTCAGCTGTCTCCGCACCACTACCGTACGGTACATGTAGCTGGTCAGCTACATTACTTCTAATCATTTAGCTTTTCCCATGTACTAAGCAGTCCGAGATTCTTCACTGAAAGCAACCGTTTTCCAAGCCCCTTGCACGCTCGTCCCAGATAGCCCAATGCCGCTTGGACTCGTGTGAACTTTTTGCTGGAGGATGAGCTTTGTCTTCGAACATCCACACACACGTTCTTCGCCTCCTGCCTTCGTGCTCAATTGATATCTTGACTGCCAACCAAGAGCAGAATTGCGGATTCAATCATTCGCAGTCCCCGTCCACAATTCTCTTGCCTACTGGCTCCATTCAGAGCTATCGTGCACCGCCGTGGTATGCGTTGATTCGATGTGCCTTCGAGGCTCTCCTTCAGTCGTTCCGTCTTCACGTGACATGGCATCAATGTCCTCCTCGGCAAACCTGACTTGACGAGATCCGTCCTCTTCACCGTGTTTCGAGTTACATGGTGAACCTTGCGGGGTAGTGCGCCCCTTGTCTGTCAAAGAGGCGAGGATTGGTGCTATGGCCTTCTGGATTCGTTCGATTGACTGGCCTCGTCGGGTCGACGAGCGATGCCTTGTTTCTGTCGATGTGCCGCGACGCCTCCTCGGCGACGGGCGTTGACCACGTCCGCGATTCGGCCCCTCGTCATGCAAGTGCTGTCGGGTTCGCGAAGGAGGAGCTCTCAAGAAGAAGAGAAACGGTTTCTTTGGAGGGTGCCTTCCGCTCGGACTTGAGGGGCTGGTGGTCTTGGGAAGATCATTCGATGCACTGATCACGGAAGAACGGTTCTTTCGTTTCCCAGAAAACAATGGGATGATATCGAGGATATTCAGAGGACTCTTTGTCTCGGGTTCGCTCTTGTTCTTGAGGATGCCTTTCGACGGCGGAGGAAGAGAGGAGGAACGGCGCCCCTTCGGTGTGCCGCCCGTGGACTTGTCGTCAATAGGAACTTTCGTCTTGCTGTCATCCCCACCACCATCAGCGACGCCGGAACATTCGCGTAGCCCCATCGACTCGTGGTGGTCTTGCTTCTCGGTCTCCTTGTTGCGCCCGTCTCGGCGACCAGCTTTTTCGCCATTATCGGGAGGATTGGATCGCGACCGAGGAGGCCTGGATGCATCGTCCTTGTGAAGTCTTCTAGATCTGACGGGCCTCTCACTGTGAGATCCAATAACTTCGCTCGCTAGTGTTTCACCCCCCTGTGCGGGAACCGAGCTAGCTGTGTTCAGTTGCCCAGCCTCATTGACCCCGGTTGACGCTTTGCTCCGCTTTTTCTTGACTGGGGCATGAGTCTCAGTCCTTTCGCTCAGAATACTTGGATCAGATCGTCTTTGCTTCGGGGGTGGGCTCTCGCGGATTCGCCGGGGCTTCATGGGCCTATCGCTGTGCCTCCCAAGCGGCTCGCTTGACTTGTCCGGTGTCAGCTTGGGTGTCGCCTCGACCTGAGTGGACTTGACGGCCACTCCGTTCAACCCCATCAAAGGATCCGTTTCCCTTTTCGAGTTCCTGGTATCGGTTCCGCCCATCAGACGAGGGGACGAGTGCTGTCGTCGAGTCAGCATGTCTCTTCGGGTCCTAACAGGTCTTTCACTGTGGCTTCCAAGTTCTTCAGAAGCATGGCTCTTCTGCTTTGGTCCACTATCTTGGAATGCAATCATGTGGGCTTCAACGTCATTAAGCAAGCGCTGAAGCGAGCTTTGGGGGACGTAAAGCGAAATCTGCTTTGGATTCTTCTTCTTGTCTGCTGGCTGGATCATCAACTGCAATAGGCGTTTTGGTTCGCCGGCACAAGAAACGCTCTGACGAATGTAGACCACTTGAAACTGCATCACTCTTTTCCACTCCCATGCGTAGCTGACAGTCCCACCCGACAAGTTATCATCATCATCATCTTGGACAAAGATGAGCTCTTGCTTGGCCACAGTCAACGTACCAATAACACCAAATAGGATCACACCCCGATAAACGGCAGACTCAGTTGGACGCATGTTGCAAAAATAAATAATGTAGTAGTTATCAACCCCGTGTGGGTCTGTCTGGTGATGTGGCGCCTAGAACTATCATTTTGAGTATTTAGCTAATTTTGTAGCATTTTGGCATTTCAGCTGAATCGAGCATTACCCATATCTTAGTAGCTGGAGAAATTTAATGCAGAAAGCCAGCCAAAAAGGCAAGTGTCCTATTTAATGCATAAAAGTCCTCAGATATAGATACATTTTATCCAAAATGTGACATAGGCAAAACTTGGATATTTACTTAGGCAAGCATGTTCATTACTTAGATATATATAATATACATGATGATATAATAGTAAGAGCATGCCATTGGAAAACAGTTACTGGTCAAACTAAGGCTTTTTATAGACTTATTGCAAGTTGCCTTCAAGTAGATGGTGGCAAGACGTACTTAAGATGAATTATGACTGCATAGAAATGTGGATTTAAGGTACATTGAAGTAATAGGGTTAAGGTTATTGAATAGCATGCCCAATGGGCACCAGATTCGAAAGATAATGTATTTGGCTTGGTAGTCTGGTTTGGCAGTTTATTACTTTCTTTTCCATTTTTTGTTTGGTTTTCGTTTTCGTTTTCGTTTTCGTTTTGGTTTTGGTTTTCGTTTGATGGTGTGCTTTGACTTGCCTCTAACAACCCATGCTCCACAAAAATGCTTACACAATCACATTCACCCGTCCCTGAAACTCATGCCCACTGGGCATAGGATTCAAAAATGGTAACATTCCTAAGGTCCTGACTGGAATTGTTACCACCCAGACAACACTACTGTATCATATCTTGTGCAAACACTCAAACCAAATTCAAAGACTCAAACAAAAAACTAAGAAATGACGGAGTCACACATATGCTAGGCAGCGCAGCAGCAAAAGAATCTTAACCCTAAAAAAAATCTGTTCACCACATTCTCCTCCACCTTAATGTTTTACGTACTTTCACACCGTTAGCTTCAACGCAAACAGAACTAGACGTTATACTTCAGACCCACACGGGGGTAAGCTATGAAATTCTTGGATCTCCTTCAAGCTTACTCACTCGGCTCTGAGTGTGACTTCCCCTGGTTGCAGCTAGCATTAGAGCTCCTCGCAGATCAATGGGACAACCTTTGCTTTTTGTGTGAAGGATGAAAACATTTGATGACTCGAAACTGACTCGACTCAGTAGTCACTCGGCTTGGAGAAAGGGAGCGGATGGATGAGGCGATGCTATTGACAGGATCAGTCCTGGGCGACGAAATCGGCGGTGCTGAAAGACGAAAAAGAGACGCTTTGGTGACCCAAAACCATTTCTTTAGTTTTTACAGGTCACTCGTGATTTGATAGTACTTAAGGAGCAATAAATCCTACCTAAGGGATTGGAGATTCATAATTCTTATTGAGTACCGGTAATTCAGCTGTTGCAGGTTTGTCCATTTTGCATTAAATCCTGAAGAATGGCATTGAAGATTCAACTTCAACGAGTACAGCTGTACTCTGACTCTGAGTAAAGAAGAGTTCTCTGTCTCTGCTCCGGCCGAATGATTCAATGCATGTTTGCCCAAAGACTTATTTAATAAATACTAGTAAGGAACGTACTAGTACTAGAAATGCTCAATGTTCATTGTTCATAGACGGCAGTACAGAAACAGCTTTGAATGTGCCTGATGATTTAAGAGTCATGGCTGTGGTTAGATCCCATTAGTACAAGTACTAGTACATGTACGTCCTTACAGTGGACCACAGAGCTACGGTACGGTACCACTACATCGTACTCTACATTCATGTACCAGTCATGTACCACTACAACATGTTACGTACATGTACCACTATTAATACCTGGTACCTGGCGGTACCTCACATTGGCAACCGTGCACCTGATTTACGTGGATTTCTCTCCTATTTAGATCTCTAAAAGAAGAATTTGATCTACTAGTAGTGGTTTTGATGTTTTGATTCATGAAAGCGTGACACTCTGATGACTCTATTCGTTAAGTAAAAAAAGTGATATTTAAACACGATCGTCTCCTTCAACATGGTGAAAATGTACCACTAGTTGGACAGGGGGTAGAGAGCACTACATACAGCCTGTGCATATGAACAGGATTTTTAGAGAGCCAGCCTGCAGTCAAATTTTGGCCTGGCAGGCGACGCAATTCCTGTGCAATTGTACAGGCGACGTGATTCCTGTGCAATTGTACAGGATCGACGTGATTCCTGTGCAATTGTACAGGAGGTCGGATCGACGTGATTCCTGTGCAATTGTACAGGAGGTCGGATCCTGTGCAATTGCACAGGAAATCGGACGTGCTTCTGCATGCTGGTTGAAGGCAGCAATACCTTTTGATTTCCCGAAACCCCTGAGTCGTACAACAAAGTCAGAAGCACGACAAGCGTTGACAAAATATGGTGCAAGCGTTTTAGTGCAAGCGTTTTAGTGCGGAACTCAGCAGTATTGGTAGAGAATTCCTTTGGGAGCCAGTGCACAATAGCAGTGTTGGGCTCCGATCGGTTGCGAGTATTGTGACCGAGTGTTGGAATAAGATTGAGAGAGCCAGCTACTTGAATGATTACGGGTGGAGACGTCCATACCTCAGCCTGTGAGATAGCAGGAGCGTTCCTCAATCGTGCATGAAACCGATCCTAAAATAGGGTCAGATTTAGGGTCGGATTCCCTTTAGGGTCGGGTTTCGAAACCGACCCTAAAATAGGGACGGTTTCTGAAAAACCGTCCCTAATTTTGGGTCGGGTTTTGATTCGTGAGTACCTGCTGCGGGTACTCGATGTGAATACGGGTACTGAGTACTGGGCCTACTCAGAATCCATACTTACATGACCTTCGAAATTCTGAGTACTACTCAGTACCCGTACTCACATACCTCTAGATTCCGAGTACTTTGTGAGTCTTCGGTGGGTACTCGATGAGTACTTTCGATCAGTACTCACCGAGTACCATGAGTACTGAATGGGTACTTTGTGAGTACTCGGTCGGTACTTTCTCACCGCGAAACAGCAAAAAGATCATTATTTTCTCACTTTGGGCCCAATTGCAAATTTAAATTCTCTAAGTAATTGGAAAATGAGTACTCAGTGAGTATACCGTAGTACCCAAAAAATACCTGGACTCACATAGTACCTGTACCCACTTGACCTCAGAAATTCTGAGTACTACCTAGTACCTGTACTCACTCACTTCCAGGATTCTTAGTACTACTCAGTACCCGTACTCACATGCTAAAACAGTGTGAGTACCACACCCTGATATGTATGTACAGCCTCCTGTACATATGAACAGGCAGGCCGTCCATTTCCTGTGCAATTGAACAGGCGTCGCCATCCTGTTCGATTGCACAGGAAATTGGACGTTTTTGAATTCAGGCAAAAAAAATGGCTGGCCTTGCTCTCAATCTGCGGGCATCCTCCCTGTTCATATGCACAGGCTATATGTAGTGCTCTCTACCCCCTGTCGCCCTGCCACTAGACGAACCGGAATACTCAACACGCTTACCTTTATATTCGGATATCTGTAAGTTTGTCTCTGTAGTGGGAGAATCTCAGCAGTATCACAAAATATATTCCTACTGAACTTATTTCTTAGCTCAGGATCCATCACAAGGGTAATGTATCACCTTTTTAATACTCTGATTAGGAAGAGAGTGCTATGGAACATTTGTGAGTACTCTGCTTCCCACCTTACTGGACACACCCCAAGGGGAAGTGAGGAAAGAGCAATTTATCACCTGTGGGCGGCAAAGTTTTTTGACGTTAGGCACCTGTTTTGAAGGTATTTTTTGGTAGAAAGTGTCATTGTATCATCTCTGAATCTCGTATGTGCCCAAGGGAGAGTACTCACTGGGTACTGGGTATCTTTGCTCTAGTGCAGATCTGAGATCTGAGTGTCTCCAGTCTCCACTAGGTCTATCTTAGCATACCATGGTATCAGCAAATCTCAGTAGTCTAGTCTCCTTGACATCTTATCTCCAACTCTCTTAGTATCAAGGGACGAGTGTACCGTACTGAAGAGTACCGGTAGGAAAAAGGTCGCATCCTGGCCCCGGACGACACCCCCAAGAATACAGTACAGCAGGGTGCGGAAATGGGACTTAATGACACATGCCTGCGTGAAACTAGCAGTTTCACGCAGACTCTGCGTGAAACTAGTACTAGTTTCACGTCGCGTGAAACTATGCGTGAAACTGTGCGCGAAACTAATCAAGAAACTGTTAGTTTCGCGCAAGTCTGCGCGAAACTAGTGACAGTTTCACGCAGAAAAACGGCTAGTTTCACGCAGGATTTACTAGCAATTACTATGGACAGATGGATAGTTTCACGCACGACTGAACATAGTTTCACGCAGGCCTGCGTGAAACTAGTACTAGTTTTACGTACGTGAAACTATGCGTGAAACTATGCGCGAAACTGTTAGTTTCACGCAAGTCTGCGTGAAACTATCCCGATAGTTTCACGCAGCTTCGTTTAAAAAAAAAATAAGAGTGCTCCTTCAATCCTGTTTCCGGACCCTGCAGCCCTGCAGTAGTACCCTACTACATGTAGCTAGCTAACCAGCGCGAGTGTACCGTCACAGGGTTACATTTTAAAACTACATGTACATTAACCACACTATACCAATACCAGCTACGGGTAGCTACATCGTAGTCTAGCTAGTAGCTACACCGTACGAGCCAGTGGTTTGTTGCATTGCAGTAGATTTACCGGTACCCGTACAGGCTGGTGTTGAATGATTGAATTTCACCAATAGCACGACTATTGAAACACTCTCACTTCCAACCATTTCCAGCGGCAACCAATTTTTAAAAAAATGGGAAAACTGCAAAGGCGAAGGTTAGAACTGTGGCTGTGCGACTCTTGGCTTTCGGTACCTGCTACTGGTGGAACGTCGACGTATGCGAATGTCCAGGCTACCGGTAGGAGTCTAGCTAGTACGTTGGCAGATATAGAGTGAGTTGGAGTGTATTCTAAGGTCTATGATACTGATCAGGGGGTTACTTGATTGATTGATTGATTGATTGATTGATTGGAAAGCTCTTTCTAGTAGGGACCGCAACATGTCTTCCTTTCACGCACATATGTTTCTTCAGTCATCACGCCAAGTCGTATCTCCCGGAAAAGCATTACATGCGGGTAGACAAAGAGGCCTGAGAGTAGAATTCCCGGGATGTTTAATGAAACAAGGTTGGCAAATACTGCGATACAGTGGTAGACAAGAGCTGCGCACACCATGCACTGATTGAAGTTGGCAGCCCCGTAAATACCGAGCGAATAGAATAGGATAGCCACGAATCCAAAGCCAATGACAAAACCAAGCAGTGCTTCCGAGGCATGCTTGTTCGTCTTGACCCATCCTGAAAAGACATCATCGTTCGTGGTTTGTGAAATCTCGTCGAACAGGGCCAGAGCCGTGATGGCGACACAAACCTCGATGACTGCTAAGACAATGCTGATCACATCGACCGCAATGACAGCTCGTCGCATATCACACATGCACCCAAAGAATAAATGACCCCGTTTTTCTTTCGAACAAGAAAGATCGTTGCCGTAAGGCACCTCCGTGGATGTTGCGTGCGGGACCTGATCTTGTTGGTTGGCTCGAGTAGCTTCTTGAAGCCGGATAGAGTCATCCACTACCGTAGAGGTGGGAGGAGAAGGGAGTTTGAGCTCTTCTTGCATCATGGTTTGAGTTTGTTTTAATTTTAAATTAAATGAGTTGTTTGTTTTTGTTGTTGCTATGATTGGTTTATGCGCATTTAGTATTTGCAGGAACGGAGCCATCGGACTGAAAGTCTTTCAGAAGTGTGGTTGACTGAGTGACTCCCACTTGTGATCGACACCAAGCTTGACTGAACTTTTCGAAAGACCGAACAAGCCGATTAGACTGGGTCACTCGGCTCTTCAGCAATAGGCGCTGAAGCAACAGCTATTACCGATAGCAATAGCATGGCACAAGTGCTGTTTCAATAGAAATTAGAATCGCGGCTGACTGCTTTCAAAATAAGCTCCACCCGCAGAATTTTGTTCAAAGAGCTAACTAGCAGTCCTCAAAGTAACAAGATGCAAATGTGAAACAATTGAATGTGCCCTCCCCACTCTAATCAGGTCTGCCTGTAGAAAGATTGTTGTACAATCACTGGCGTTACACACAAGCCAGTAATCTACTAGTAGATTCATCGCTGGCTGCTGACGGGTGGTGATAAAAACGAACCTATCTCGATGCTCAAGCAGTGATGTTGTGGAACGAAACAGCTAGACTACGCACTCGCTCAAACTACAGCCGTTCTGTATTTCTGATACTTCGACTCGACTCGAGTCGAGTCTCAAAGTAAAGTGGGTTGGTGCCGTCACTGTTTAGCCCTCTTTTTCGCCTCAAGGCAGCATTGCGTGACAGAAGAAGCATGACTGCCTTTTGGATTCGAGCACTCTCTTCGATACCGTATAGCACGTGTACGAGGCCATCACTCACTTGCCATGCGCGGAAGATGGTGTGATGTCACAAGAAGACTTTGCTGAACTGCTGGAACTACTAATACTGGACTATCGAAACAATTATACAACGCTTGGAAGCTATGCTGATGTTGCGCTCACAGCCACCTTCGGAACACCATCGTGTGCCATCGCGATATCGGCGCTAGCGGAGGGATCATCACAGTGACTTCTGCGGAGAGGATTCACTTTCATCGGGAATTTCTTCACTGAAGAGAGGAAGCCGGAACTTGCAGATTTTCGGACTTCTGTGTCTGTTTTCTTAGCTTCTCCATCATCGTTAGTGGCTTCATCAACCGATAGCGCTGGCAAGAGCCCCACACCTCGCGCGGCCGGTTTGAGGATCCTCTCATGGGTTGGCTTGAGGATCCTGTTATGTGCAGGCTTGATAATCCTTTGTTGCATCTGGTTATGTGCAGGCTTGAGGATTTTTTCGTGCGCTGGTTTCAAGATCCTGTTATGTGCAGGCTTGATAATCCTTTGTTGCATCTGGTTATGCGCAGGCTTGAGGATTTTATTATGCGCTGGTTTCAGGATCTTGTTATGTGCAGGCTTGATAATCCTTTGTTGCATCTGGTTATGTGCAGGCTTGAGTACCTTTTCGTGTGCGGGCCTGAGGACGTGCTCTTGCGTAGGATCAATAATGTTTCGTCGCGTGGGCTTGACAATCAAGTTATTGGTAGGTCTGACCACAAAGTCATGGGCAATCTGCTGTGACGGCCTGATGAACAAGTCTTGAGTGATTATCATAGTGGAATTCAGCAAAGTCACCTTGCCCTGTTTTGTGCCATTTCTATTTCTTCGAACCGAATTTCCGGGCCCCCTTAGTTGCCTGTCTGAGGGAGTCTTTAGTTTCCTCTGCGAGTTACCCCTTAGATCTGAAGAGCTGCGTGTAAGGGATTCTCCCTTTCCTGATCGCTTCGAGGTTTTGGTAGTGAGAAAGGCATCTCCATGTGACTTGGCTCGTTTTATCTTTGGTTTGGTGGTTTCCACCTTCATTGACGGCATTACCATTGGCTCTGGATATACCCTTTCTTCGTCTGAATCATAGCAGGGTTCACAGCAGGCCCATGCCGCCTCGTTCGCTGCTTTGGCCGCGAGTGCCAGTTGAAGCGCCCGACTAACTGTTTCACCGTGCTTGTCTCTAAGCTGCTGCATCATTGTGTCTAAGTCTTCTACCAGCTCCTGCACAAGATCATCTGGTACTTGAAAGGATACTGCCTTGTTGCTGCAGTTGAAAAGCTTGACCGTGCGAATCATCGAGCTGACCTCCTCAATATCGTCAGCGCTACTTTCTGCCAACGGAACCACATGAGTTTTCTTGATGGAAGGCCACAACCACGAGCGTGAATAGCGGCAACCCCCGTGCTCTCGAAAGACTAATTTCTCGGTTGTCAAGAAAAGAATTCCTGTTCTTCCCTGAAATCCAATTCCATCGTAGGCGACGCCAGTTGCTGCGATATTCAACGTTGCAGCACACATAATGTTGTGGTTTTGCGGGGAGGGAACTGTGCTTGACTCCATGAGCTCTCCACTCCATCCATGGGCAATGGGGGGCTGCTTGGAACTTGGAACTGGTCGCTCGCTCTGTGCTGCAGGCGGCTTCCAAATTTCGGTATCCAGCCAAGTCACAGAGCCGTCACAGTATGTACTCAGAGTAGTGATTACCGCTTACGGTACCACTTTTCATGTTTCACTTAAATATTTCTCCTCTTTCAATGACTTTCGCAGGGTCATAGGTGAAACAGGATTTAGAACAGGCAGAAGCCAGAATGACATTCTTTAGATCATTCGGAATTCCATAGCTGTTCTACTTACCGTGTTGTTACCTAGTAGCTAGCTACCGGTAGCCCCTACCAGATTCTTTCTGATCAGAATTAAACTTTGTCGCGCTCGTAAACATGGCACTGGTCCTTTGATGGAGCAACATCATTGTTCTGAAACCAATGGTGAAATCTGGTGCACATTGGTTTAAGCCCTACAAAAGAACTCGAGGTTGACTGGTTAGTTGTGCTCCACTGGCAGAGTATTCAAGTATTCAGTAAATACAATCTCTACTGCAGTACACTCCAAACTCAATAATAAGAAAGCTCTAACTGGTAGTCGGTACTGGAGCTTTCTTAGGCTCTGTCCCAACAACTATTTTTCAGGTCGGGAAATTGGACTTTGGGCAGGCTAAACTGAAAAGCAATGTGGCCTCCCCCCAAATCCTCTTCCAACTTCTTTTTTTCAGATCCAAATTTGGATGGTTTGCTGCGAGTGGCTGTGGCAGCTGCTGCGAGTGGCTGTGGCAGCTGCTGGGCCTGCTGGCTTGAGTGTAATTAACATACTTGAAGTTAAACTTGAAGTTGAGTACCGGTTCGTTGACACAGAATTCCTGTTAGATTCAAATCGACCAATCAAATCGAACACCCAGTCAAAAACCGAAATCGGCTCTGCGCAAACCAACTCAAAATTGATTTGCACAAACCCGAAATTGGCTCCAATTTGGGAGGAGGGCAAATGCCTGTTTGGGGGAAGCCAGCAGACCAAGGCCAAACCGAAGGCCCTAAAGTCCAATTTCCCAACCCCAAAAAGAGTTGTTGGGACAGGGCCTTAGCCAACTGCTCTATTTTGCTACTCATTTTTATATTTTAATAAAACAAGCCAATTTCAGTATACTAGTAGAAGACTTTCTTACTAAGCCTCTAGCTAGATCAAACAGGTTAGTGTTTGGATACACCCAGTGCACCTGGGCCTTGGGGTCCAACTTGCTCAGGACTCTTAATTGGTTTGGATCAAGTAAAAGTGGGGATCACCGCCAGGCAGAAAATTTTGCAGGTTTTGGCACAAGTTAGGAGCATTTTCATGGTGTCAGACTAATAATATTTCTTGTGCTTTTGAGGTATCAATACTGGGAAGCTTTCTTACAAGTCTGTGATATTTCAGTATAAAAAGATTCTTATCTTTTTCTAAAATTTGAGTACTCGCTTTCTTGTTTGGAGTTTCTTACCTTCAGGTTTGGAGTCTAGGACTCTAGTAGCCAGCTAGTTTGACAGCGCTTTATGCTGGACCGTCCGACGGTTTTCACACAGGATTTAAAAAATCTTGAAATTGCCACGACTGACTGACCGTTTAAAACAATCCCTTAAACAATCCCTTAACTCATCAACTATCCCTTAAACAATCCCTTAAAGAAACAATCCCTTAAAACAATCCCTTAAATCTTGGACTATCCCCTAAACAATCCCTTAACGCCAAATGGAAATACAATACAACTATCCCCTATTTCTTCAACTATCCCCTAAACAATCCCTTAAATAAACAATCCCTTAACAACAATCCCTTAAATCTTTGACTCTCCCTTAAACAATCCCTTAAGAAACAATCCCTTAATTGTGCTGGTCAATTTTTTGTCAGTCATGGAAGCTTTTTAAATCCTGAGTGAAAACCGTCGGACGGTCCAGAGGTGGCGGTTGTCGTCGGCGGTAAGGGGGATCAAAAAGCCACGGGCTGCAGGGCAAGCAAGCAGCCAGAACCACGTATCGCTCTGCCACCAATAGTACCGGTAGGTAAATCCAGCACCACGTATCGCTCTGCCACCAATAGTACCGGTAGGTAAAGCCGAGCTGCTTTCACCTTTCATCACCAATGCATGAAGCCGCCACAACAGCACCAAGAAACAACAGCAAAACCAACTTCACTTCAGTATCATCCACTGACAAGCTTCAAAATTATAATTTGCACAGTATCTTTTGTTATCATCCACCGAGGAGAGATTTCAAGATCATGACTTGCACAGTATACCTTGGTCAATTCCTGGCGGCACGGCCCAGTACCGGTACTACATGTACCGGTACCTGTAGATGGCTGTTCTGCTTCACTTTGGAAGGATGCCAAGCACCCATTCATAATTGGCTGGCTTGGCTGGCTTCTCCATCTCATTGCTTACCGGTAGGGCTGGCTTCTCCAGCTCAATGCTTTGATACAGTGTAAATGATCCTTAGCTCCCTTCTTGTTTGCGTGTCTGCCGCAATCGATTTTTGCATCAGTTAGCTGACTTGGTACTAGCTAGTAGTAGTACCGTCGGCTTTGGCTCATCATCGAGTCTCTTCCTCTCCCCAGCTGCTTGGTTGCCCGCCATCAGTGACTCAGAACAAGCACGCAGTTTATTCAAAGCAAGCACTAGCTAGGCCGCTGCCAATACCGGAAGTTAAGTTGTTTGAGGCTGACGCATGTTGCTATCTGCCATACAGCCGCCACACTCGTGAGTTCCTGCGCTACTGGGATGCATACAAAAACCATCCCCGCAACCTTCTCAGAGCTACTCAAGTAGTACTGTACAATGTACATGTACCAGCACAAGGCTTCCTTCCGGGCCTCAGTAATCAATCTACTGAACTCTACAGTAACCCTGTGATACGTACCTCAATACCAGTCCATGAGCGCGTTTCCGGCTTTGTGCTTCCTGTTCATCCAGCAGTCAAAGATTTAAAGGCTTGCTTGACAGTTCTTGTTGGCGCAGTGATCCAGTCACGGTTGTGCAGGAGCCTAATCGTTCGAAGCTCTTGCCGAGATCTTGGCAGCCGTCTCTTGTTTCTTTGGAAAATGAAACAGACAACAAAAATCAATAGCACTTCCGTGACAACTCAACAAACAACAACAAAGTAGCTAGCTAGGCAGCAACCGCTCTCAATAGATATCAAGATGACCCTGAACTCGAGCAAGTTTGTGGGTATTCAATTCCAAAACAAAGTGGGTACCTTGCTCATCAATGCCGAAAAGGTGATTTTTCGTCCCAAGTTAAGCCCGTCCGAAAAGGCAGCCAACATCAAACCAGTGGCTCGTTCGTGGCGATGGATTGCCATTGATCGAATTGAAGTTTTGGATCCTCCGCGAAACTCTCCTTCCTTTCGAAGTTTAAAACTGAAATCCAAAGTGGCGGCACAAAAGGCCGTCACGTTGGTGATTCCCACTGATGTGCTCGATGATGTTGTGGAAGATATGAACAAGAGGTTATCCAAAGAAGCCATGGGATTTGAAGGATCTCTGTCACCACAAGTGCAAAAGAAAATGGCACCTGTGCAGTTGAGACGAAAATCATCAGGACCAATTTTGATGCAGACAATTGATGAAGCCAGCCTTGAAGATTCCTCTACTGTCCAAAAGACCAGCAGAAAACAAGCCAAATCATCAAGGCGTGCCAGTATGCCTGAAATAACGACTGCAAAGAAAACACCAACAAAGAAAGAGCAAGACAAAAAGACGGAAAAGGGGCCTACAAAGCCAACACAATCAGCCAAGGGATCCACCAAAACTAAAAAGGAAACTCAACCAGAACCAGTGCCAGCTGCAACGGAACCAGCTACCAACAAAGAAGAAGTACTGGTACAACAGGCTGAAGAACCAACGCCACAAGCAGAACGATCCCTGCTGTCTGCTGTCACAGCTGTCACTCAAAGAATTACGGAACCCATTCAGAAACAAGTGAAAACGCACACCAAATTTCCTCTCTTGAAACCACCGGAATCTCACAGACACAAGGAAGAGGAAGAAGACGAAGAGACAGAGGACGAAATTCCAGCAGAAGCCGCTGCCGTCACTGCTGCTGCCGATGAAGATGATAGTTCCCCCAATGCTTCAACCACAAATAAATCACAGACGAAACGACCCCTTTTGCACTTTTTGAAGCCACCACCACCGCGTCGAAACATTACCGACGAGTTTGATGAAGAGATGAAGAAAACCTTGGAGTCGCAGGCCAAAACGTCACCGACGGCATCAAATGCAGGATCCAACAATATCAAGTCAAAAGCAAAGCAAAAGGAGGACAAAGAGCAGAAGAAAGCGTCCCAAAACCCAAATGCCGGCAATAAATCAAAAGCAAAGGCCAAAGACAAAACGAGGAAGAAATTGCCGCCACCAGAGACCAACAATAAGCCGAAAGCAAAGGCGGCGCAAAAGGACACAGCGCAACAGAAACCAAAGAGCGCACCACCGGAAGAACAGAGTGACGCAGTGCCAAGCCCACGACGGAGCAGCATGTTTGCCACGCCTCCGCCACAAGCCAAGCCCAAGGCAGCAACCACAAACAAGAAGAGAACCTCCTGGACGCCTTCGTCTGAAATGGTCTACACACCGCCACCAGCACGAAAAGAAAAGGTGCAACGGGAGGTTGTCTTCAATCCTATGGAAAACGAAAATTCAAGTTCCCCTCAGAAAGAAATTGTGTTTACGCCCACCACGGAAGAAAAAGAAAAAGTGAAAAAGGTTACGACCACTGTCAAGTTGCTCGACGAAGATGAAACATCCGCGTCGACTAGTTCCTCGGAGGGGCAACCTGTCGAAAAGAGCGACGCCAAACCAGAATCAAAAATTTCGCCGACAAAATCAGTTGAGGACGAGGACGACAGTGCTGGTGTCCTCTGGAATCCAAAGGCCCCGGAACACGTCTTTCGCATGATGATTCTCCAGCATGCCGCCAACTGCGATTGTGCCAAAGGATCTTGTTTCTACGATCCCACGTGTTCCGACTATAAGCGCATTTTGGCCCATATCGTAGTGTGCGGCGATGGCGACGAATGTGACTTTGAACGATGTCGAGCTACCAAGCAATTTTTGCTAACTATGCAATTGATGCAGGATTTCAAGCACGATGGTCCGGTGGAAGAGGCTCACAAGGACTTTTTGGTAAATGTGGGAGCCGTCGCGCCCATCCCTGTCATTCAGATGCCGACCAATCTTCGCGGAGGTAACTCGGACGGCCTATCCGTTGTCAGTGATAGCACATGGTGGAGCAATGATTGGGGTGAAGTAGAAAAGGACATGGACGACGACGATGACAGCAGCTAAGACATCCCATCTACTTGTCGCATTTTAAAACCTACCGTACTACAGCTTGCTAGCAAGTCTTAGCTAGCTGGCTGCTGGCTGGCTAGCTAGAGCCCATGTCAGAAGCTTTTTCGAAAGTGGGCTAGACTGGTGCTACAACTATCTGGTACCGGTTACTAAATTTGGATGTCTACCCAGCCGCCAAGCTGCTTGGTTGCCAAAACTTTGGATAGCTTCCCTGGGCCACTTGCTCAAGCTGGCTACTAGACTACGGTATCACTGGCGGGCTCGGTTGTGCTCTACTGAAGGCTACTACCGGTAGCCAGCTAGCTATGTTCACTTTTCTGCTTTGCCAGAGACACGTTTGTGATCACAGCTTGAAGGTGTCAGATGCGTCTTCTCCCATTGGACGCGTGTGGCAAAACCCCATCCAACCGTGTGACCGCGGGAGTCAACGTCAGCGATTTTGGACACTCGCGGACTTGACTAGAACAGATACCCTCAACAAGGAAGAACAATCGGGGCGCACATGAGGATACCCCAGGACCAATAGCTGTACTAGTACCGACAATAATTGAGAGAATGCTGATACTGGCGAGCAGCTAGCTAGCTCTTTTAAAGGTAGCAGGTTGCTAGCCAGATATCGAATAGGGAGACGATTGCTTGGTGGTGGTTTCTGCAGCTGTAAACAATGTCGGTTATCGTTTTATACAGGCCGTAGCCTTTGCTAGAACTATTTCAATAGTAATAAGGAGTAGAAGTAGCTGCACATGTCTTTTATCGTTTTATACAGGCCGTAGCCTTTGCTCTAGAAGCAGGAAGTAGTAATAGGAAGTAGAAGTAGTAATAGTAAACACAATCCATCCAAAACGTTTCGTTTCTCTCGTCGTCGTCGTCGTCATCATTTCTCGTGTGTGATGCACATCCCCCGTCAAACACACAAACAAGTCTCCTGGAAGTAAGTCTTTAAAAGAGGAGTCCCTGCATCAGACCGAGGCAGTCGTCGTCCAATTTGGCGGCAAGTTCCGAGATGTGAGGTGGTGTACTGTCTCTGCGAGAGCACGAGCTGACACTGGAAGCGAGGCTGGATTCCTCGGAATCCACTCGCTGCAGACTGGGTTCGTCGAATGACGGCTGGAATTGCATGGTAGTTGTGTTGCCGCCCTCATCGCTCAACAGTGCCAAAGCTTGTCCGACCACATTGCCTGCCCGCATCGTCGGCGTCAAGCTGTTGCAGCTGCCGAAATTGGAGCTGGGCAAGTTTTGAAAGAGAAACCTGGCAGAGGGAACATGTCGGTTGATGGAAGCAGCAGGAGACGACGACGAGATTCTCTGGAATACCATTCGACCCGAGTCATGCGATGCTTGATGAGCGGCCATGAGATTGCACTTGACAATGGACTGAGCATTGAATGATGATGCAGCAGAAGAGGGTGAGACCATGGTCATGCTACCCAGAGTGACAGGATTTGGTGTAGTCTTTTTAATGGCAGTCTGAGCAGCCTTCCAGACTTCCATTTCCTTTTGATAGCGCTTCTTGTCCGCCGCAGCGAGTTCATCAAAGCGCTTTCGATCCTCGGGGGCAATGTTGTTCCACTTGGCAGCCACATTTCGGGCAAGGGCACCAAAGCCAATCTTGCCGTGAGATCTACGAGGCTTTTTGCCATCGTACTTGGAGGGCGTGGACTTGAGGATCTGAGCACGTTCGTGCTGGAAGAACAGGTTGTAGGCAGATAGAGGTCTCTTGGGCTTGTCAGAAGGTTCCTTCTTGCTGCTCTTGCTGCTGCTGGTAGTCTTGGTGGTAGGCAAGGCTTTCATGACAGAGGGCACGCTGGAAGAAGAGACAGCTTGCAGGGGTGGGGCAAAGGATTGAAGGGTCTGCATGGTGAAGTGTTGGTTTTGGTTTTGTTGGATTTTTGGATGCGGAAGCAGGTTGAGGGCGATCTTTGGTTTCCTTATTTGGTTTTGTGAGTTGTGAGGAGGAAAAAATACATGTAATGAGATCTGCAAAAGGCGAAAGCGAATGAGAAAGACACGATTTTGGATTGGCTATCATCGGTGTCATGGGGTGGTGCTCGACGCCGCACAGCTGGGCAATAGACATCCCTGATTTCTGCCAGCAGCGCGGTACGGAGGTACAGCTAGCGTTCGTAGGGTTCCAAGGTACCAGTATCTGAAAGATCCATCCTACACAAAAACCAAGGTAACCTTGTACTCGGAGTAGATTCGAGTTGCCAGAAACTCTATCTTTTTATCTTTTTCGACCGAGCAGTGCAAGCGACACGAACATGCTGCCAGGGTTCTTTTGAATAGGATCAACTGTACTCGGTGCAATGACCTGGGATCGAAAGATATAAAGGAAAAGATTCACCATTCACAACACAGGAAGGTTTCAGTTAAGAGTGCTCTTACAGAAGGAACATGAATGGAAGCTCGAGACATTGTGACCAGAAAGAGAAGAGACTTTAATCAGAAAAAGAGACTGTCGCATGTGGACAAGTCTGGACTTTAAATACAAAAGTGGCATTGGAAACAGCTATCTAAATAGTTTTAAGCATTTCTGGACAACAGGGGTCATCGGGAAGCGAAAGATTCATTCCCAGTTCAAACAGCTTCATGCAGACCCGGCTTAAAGTCCCAACCAATAGTTTTGAAGTAAACTGGTGATTGTTTATTGTTTTATTTGTTGGTTGTAGATTCTTGCTTCAATAGATTATTATTCGAAACGTTGTACTTTATAACGTGTATTACAGAAACGTATCTTTCGTCGACGTGGTCGATGGGTTTGAAAGTATCATGACTTTTCTTTCAACTACACAGCACGGGCAACAACGCGAATATCGTGCTTCGTGCTCATTATTTTGTCTTGATCTGGCACACGCTGGGACTTACTGGCAGACTATTAATACTCTGGAGTAATGGTACCCACGTAAAATTTAATGTACCAAGGCACCATACCTCGAACGCACCTCTACCTTGGATGTCTCATTTTACCAGAACAAAAGGCCTCATCAGCACTGCTTAACTCCCTTCTGCCTCCTGAGTAAGTAAACGCGGATGTTCCAGGGCTGCCAGGAAGCCTTCGTTTGCGGAAGAGAGGGCAGTTCCGCAGTTCAACCAAAAACCCAGCCTTTGTACGAACCCTTAAACGTCTAGACTCTGTCGTCAGTCATCAAGGCTTCTTGTTGTGACCGGCGTGCTTGCAAGCTGTCCAAATTCACTGAGATTGCTATTGCTGCCTTGCGAGGTCTTATCTTGTCTCTCACTTGAACGACTGAGCCACTCACACTTCCCGTTGAACTCTGGAGTAATGTCTTCCCATTGCCCTTGAAAAGGAATCGAATCTTGCTGTTAAATACATATCTTTACTACTTTACTCTAGGACTGGTCATACTAGTCACAAGAGGAGGTCTAATGACCTCTTCGGCCCTCGATGGTTTAAACGGGGTCCATGCCGTAAACATGCGGTGCACAAGTTGCAAGTTGCTTCTCAGCTACTTCAAGATTGACAAAGATAGTGGTACTGATTTCTGACAGTATCGTGCAACGTTGCAGCTAGCTAGCCTTCTGTTACATGCCAATCTTTAGAAAACAACGAAACACGTACTCACTTCTGGAAAGATCAATCTCTGCTTGATTGCTCGTGCAAGCGACTCGACTCGGATTCTCTGCGATGTCTGTCATCCAGGATCAACGTTGGTTCGAAACATCAAGAGATCGAGAGATCGTTTTTGATGAAAAAGAATTTCTGCCAAGATTCAGCTCTACGATCACGATTAGCTCCATCAACGAAGAAGAGAAAAGAACCATGCCTCCAGCCGCGAGTGTGCCTGGTTTATTTCCAGGATACCCTTGCGCAGCCTGGTTGTCGGTCCCACAAAAGCAACGACGGCAGCAAAGCAATCAGTGTCGCGCATAGCAGCCAACCAAGTGACCAATTTCCAATCTAGCAAGACCACAAGGAAGGATAATCGACCATGGCAGGCGAAAACAAGCGCATCATTCGTGGTAACATGCAGATCCCTCGTCTGGGTAGCAGACGATTCAGCCCAGCCGAGATCAAGTTGGTGGAAGATGCAGAGGCAATTCTGTCAGCATCCGAGAGCGGACATGACAATATGGATGATTCAGGAAAGAAGATTCGAGAGACTCTAGTAAAGAATGCCCTCAGAAGGGGCTCCACAACAACCACAGCAGAAGATAACGAAGACTCATGAGATGACCACCAAACAGCGCGGATGGGTAGAGTGAAGGGGCGAGAGTTATCAGGGTCTTCTCTGGTTTGGCACCGCTGTTCATTGATCGCTCATGGTGTACATAGGACGGATAAAGAGACGGAATTCATAACGACGAATAGAGATTGTAGAGCTGCCACTGTTGATGTCTTTTTGGAAAAGACCTTGGATCACTGAGCATTCGATACACAACTATTGGTTATAGATAACAACTGTATATACTACGTATTAGCTACCCCCATTTTAAAAACTGATTGTAGGTAATAGCGGCGACGCCAAGTTCGTTGGTCGCTGCATACGCGATGTTGTCCTAGCTAGCTACAAAATGAATACTTGGAGCCTGCTGCGAGTTGTTGGGTTGTTGTTGGGTTCCGCACTGATAAGCTTCACTCTGAAATCTGAAGGAACTGGAGCGGAATCTTGAACTTTCTACCAAGAGGACTGACCAACTGCGAAGAATACGACGAATGTAGCATGCGTGTGGCTAGCTAGACCCAACCCGTTCCAGTCTCCCATTGTCACGTCGGCCTGCATTCTTTTTTCTGTGGCTAGCCAGCCAAGCAGCACGTCTTCGAGACCCTAGTGTCACTAGTACCGGTAGATTGCAGCCATGCATCGCCGCACAGTCTGCTTCATTCCCTCTAGTAGGATGTAGTGTAGTAGAGGAATCCCTGCTGCATTTTCCGCTTCGACCCATTTAGCTGGTTACTGGAGTACTAGAACACAATTACACCAACAACGGATCGAATCGAATCATTCTATCCCCTAAAGTCAAAGACTTTGGAAATGATAGAAGTAGATCTACTCCTTGGAGGAGGAACAGGTAAAGTTGTGGTGCTGGCTGGTGCTGGTACCAAGCTCCTTGCTTCCTAAGCCAAAGAGTCGCTAGCTGGTTGGTGGCTTGATGCCGGTACCCGTACTAGTACCAATACAGCGTACGGTATCAGTGGCAGCGTAGGAGCACATGCATCCTTAATCCTTTTAAAATCCTTATCCTCCTTGTTTTGCAGATCGCAAGTAAGGGCGAATGATTCGATTCAATCACCAAAATGGCATTTTACCTCTGACTTTAAGATACTAGGTTAAGTTTTGATGTGATCTGTGTTGGTGGTACCGGTACCGGTAGGGGGGCAACTCGCGGCGGTGAAGATTTCTGCACCTCTTGCACCTCAATGGCCCCACCTCGGCGGCAAAAGATTTGCACCTCTATGGTCCGCACCTCTAGTAGAGGGGCGGCACCTCAGCGGCGAAAATGTGTACCTCTTGTGGCCGCACCTCTGTGGCCGACATCTGTGGCCGCACCTCGGTGGTAAAGATTCTGCACCACTAGCCAGAAGCGCACCCCGGCAGCAAAAACGCTGCACCTCTATGGGCTGCAGGTGCCTCAGCAGCAACAATTTTGCACCTCTGTGGTTCATACTGTACCTCGGCGGAAAAATTAGAAGGATAGTACGCAGTAGTACACAGCCCAATAATGACCCAACAGAGTCTCCAACTAAATTTAAACAGATTCCTTCGGGGCTTTCCTTGCTTTAACCTTCAGTTGTTTCTCCATCTATTTGGCCTCTAGAGCTACCATAGCTATCAGGTACCGTAGCAGATTATCATAGATGCAATGCAATGGAAGCAAGGTCAGAGGGGTGGGAGCGATTGTCGTGCCTTCAAGAGTATTAAGTTTTTAGGTTGACATCTTGGTTCAGATGTCGAACTTCAGATAAAGGAGGAGCGGCTGAGTGAATCATTGAAAGAAGATTTTTTGACTCGGTATCTCAAATTGCTAAATTGATAGCTGTACTTTTGTTATCGTCTGCCAACAGTAACAAACGCATTACTGGAGTAAATAGTTACAACCGGTACCGTACTGAGTAGCGTTTATCTTCATAAAGAGGTTGCGGACTGAGTCACTCTTTGTCTCCAACCACACTCCCAGAACGCTCGGGCAGTGCGTAGTTAGTACTTCTTAGTGCTTAGTGCAGTACTGAGCACGAGTACTCAGTACCGTATGTATTTGAAACGCAGATGAATTAAATTATTGGCTTAGGAGTACTATTAATAGCTAGTACCTAAGTATTGATTTTACTGTATGAGTTGTGGTACCTGGAACCTGGTGGTACGAGTACTGGTAGATGGCACTCCAGCAGAAAATACTACTATTAATTGCTAGCTAGTAGCTACTAGCTAGCTAGTATTGAATATATGATCCACGAGTACCGGTAGCCCACCACACTTACTTTGTGTGCTACAATTATCAATTATGTAGCACTAACCTTACTAGCAGGGATACTACAGATAGATAGATCTTTAATAGGCCACGAAGAGATGCAAAAGCCTTTTCTACTGAGACAATGATTTAACGACTGAGTAATATTTTCTGAAGCCTTTTATTAAAGTGACCATGACTCCATTCCCACTTGGGGCCTTAAAGCTCATTTAACACGCAATTTTCGTAAGCCTTTGCCTTCCACTTTTTGAAGCTCTTTTTGACCACCCACATCGGATCACGTCGCGCAAACATCACAGCAACTCATCCATCGTCAATAACGAGATCGAAGTACCGTACGGTACAGTACTGTGTGTCACGACTGTTCTCCCATGTGCTCTTTCATTCTTCACTCCACTCATCAAGCAACGAGAGCAAAGCATAGCGGTACTGGAAACTGGAAACCCCAATCATCAAAGTTGTGAGGCAACACACACACAACAGCCAAAAGCCAGATAGAAAGGAGGTCAAGTAGAAATGAATGATCCAAAGGCCATCAATGAGGCTGCTGCCGATCCTAAGGGTGCCGAACCATCCATGATGCACGAAAATTTGGCCGTGAACGACAATGCAGAAGTGTCGCTTCTCCAGGAGGAAGAAGTTGGAGATGGCGTCCCCTCTTTCGATGAACAGGAGCTCTCTAGTAGTAGCAGATGCCAAGAAGAACATAGTGAGAGACAAGCCGTGGAAGACATAGGATCGGAAGCGCAAGTATGCTCGACGCCCCAACAGGTGCTTTATGAGATTGACAACCGGATCGATCGAAAGCTGGGAGAACAGCAACAGCAACATTCAGAGTGCATCGCCTCGCCAGCGTCCAGCACCACTGTCGCCATGGCAGCCGCCAGCGAGAGCAAATCAGCAGCAGCAGCAGCAGCAGCAGCAGCTCCGATGACAAGGGATGAAAAGGCAAGCCTGCAGCAAGCCATGCCGCAAGAAGTCGGAGCATTTGCCACACCAGGCCCAGCACCGTACAATTCCTTTGAGATCGCCCGCCAACGACGAATCCTCACGTCCGCCTTGACGAGCTCTGCCAACACAACCACCTCGCGATTGTCCACTACACAACACGAGGACAACGATACGTTCGACCCAGAAGTGGGTTGCAATTTTGCACTAGGTGCCCCGGTCTCTGCTGTTCGTGTTGACCATGATGCTTTGGAAGACCGTATTCGACAAGACATTATCCGCTCCTCTACACAAGCCCATGTGATTGCGATGGAAAAGTCATCCTCGTCGTTTCGTACTAGTCAGCAGCAACAGACAGCCAAGAGCACTGAAGATGATGAATGCGCCGGTGGAAACGAGAAAACTCGGAACCAAAGGCTCGGCCCCGTAGCGATTGTGGTCGTAGTGTTGATGGTGGTCGTGATTGTCATTGTAGCGATTGCAACCTTGGGAGGCTCGTCGGAGGATGAGCTGGCTGTGAGTTCCGATGAAGCCCTGGCGGGCAACGTGGAGAGTCCCTCATCCCAGGAGGAGACGAACCCGGAACCATTGTCAACCCTGGAGGCAAAGCTGGAACAAATTCGTAGTCGCAGACAACTACTTTGTGCTCTTGCAGGGCACCATAACTGGAGAAATGAGATTGTTGATCTCGAATGGAAGGATGAGTACGCTAGCTATGGGGGCCAGATAGAAGCAGATCTGGTAAGTGTCTCTCGCGACATCTTGGTTGGGGGCTGTCAACGCTTACCGTCTCTCATGTTCGTGTTTGTACATGTACTTCCATTTCTTTTTTGCGTTTCCCTCGTCTATACATCACAGTGCCGTGCAATAGCTGCAGCGGTGTTTGGGAAAGGCGGCGAAGACAAAGTTGAGATTATGGCCAAGCGTGGTTGGCACAAATCCAGAACCCAAGACATTGAAATGGATGTTTATGTTGGAACTTTGAGCCCAACCATGGAGCATGACATATACCTGGTATGTACTCGAAGAGAAGGCTAGTTCTGACCAGTGCATGTACCGTATCAACAAGGCTAACTCGTTTGTTTTTTTGTGGGCTTTTTCGTCAACATCAGGATGAAGCCAAGACCGGCTACTCCTTCTCCGTGCCGTACTACTACGAAGGCTTGAGGTTTGCAGGTACGTCGTCGCAGATATTGACCCTTCGTCGTCTCACGACACGAAACTCAAAGACCATGTACGTTTGCTTCTGTAATGCGACAGGACTGCCGTCTGATGTAAGGTGTGCCGAAGACATCTATGCAAGTCGGGTCTTGGACCAAGATATCGATGTAGCTGATGAATGTATGGATGTCAAAGTATGCATACCCGAATTCCACATGCATTCTGCCAATGGGACGATGTTTGAAGGGTTTGTTGAAAAGTTCCCACAATCCTTGGTTGTTTCAAGCCCATCCAATGCCAGCTCTTTCGATGGCATGCTTTTAGGAGAGTGCACCGTGGTGGCAGGATACAAAGAGGCCATTTCCACAGAGGAGGCAATGAACGCTGGCATAGACAGCAACTACACACTTGGTGACTTGTTCGTACCCAAGATGCCAAGAGCCATAGTCACAAAGGATGACAGCCCAGAATGGTCCGATTTTGTGAACTGGGTTCTGTTGTCGCTGGCATCTGCAGCTCAACAAAACATCACCAAGGCCAGTGCAGAGGAGATGCCGTTGGTGCCCCTGTTTGGTGATTCCAACAAGGCATCTTTCCGCGATGCTGTTCATGCCGTGGGAAACATTGATGAGGTGCTAATGAAAAGTCAACCCGAGTCTCCTGATACAATCATGAAGCATGTCAAGAATGATGGGCGCATGATTGCTCTACCGTTTGGGCCAACTCAAGCAACAGAACTAGCACCCTTGCTGGAGAGTAGTACTATGCAGAGCATCCTCGATCGAGGCACCATGCGGTGTGCAATCCACGATGCTAGGCCTGGCTTTGCAGACACGTTCCAGGACCAGTATCAAGGGATTGATGTGGACTTCTGCCTTGCGGTTGCTGCTGCTCTATTCTCTACTGACAACCCGCGGCAAGATAACCGGATTGAGTTTGTTGCAGTCGATGGGCAAACCACTGATGGTTTTGCGCTATTGGCCAGGCAAGATGTGGACATTTTGGCTGGAGCTATCTGGACATTGGAGAACGACGTACAGGAGCCTGCAACGGGAGAAGGTTACTCTTTTACTCAGCCGTACTTCTATCGTCCCACGCATAGTCGAGTCAGGTAAGTTGGTCTCTTTCTGGCGTGAGTGAATCACGAATATTTGTCCACGGCCCCAAAGTCTAACACAGTTTGATGATTACGGGACATTATGGATGCAGCCTGGATGTTGAAGTCAATCTATGTCTTGCAACAAGACAGGATGACAGCCTGTGGTCATCATTTGCTAGCTGGGTAGTTGCCAGCACTATATTTGCCGAGCAAACTTCCATAGCAAAAGAAAGTGCTGATTCCATGCCAAAGGTTGATCTGTTTGGCTCTCCCTTCGAAAATATGTTCCAACATGCGGTGGGTTGCGTTGGCAACTATGGGGAAATCTGGGAGGCAAACTTGGAGCCTTTAGTGGCTCGAAGTGGCCCCAATGTTCTCCAAACGAGCCCTCAACTAACCATGCAAGGGCCTCGATTCTATATACCTCCTCTGGCCGCTTGACGGAGCTGGGTCTAGCTAGTAGCTAGCTAGACCTAACCTATTGATGGGTCGAAGTTCGAATTGGTAGTCTTCCGTCACACTTCCGATTTTTGATATCCACCATCTTGTCAGATGTACTGAGTACTTATTGCTATTAAAGTTCCCCTATGGCATTATGGGATGCTCCAAGAGGGTAGCCAAGACTTAGTAGTACTCAGAGTATGGGATAGGGTCAACTGTTTCTGAGTTGTCGACTCAAGTAGGATTATTCTTGAGCCCATCCCTTGTCATAAGAAACTGTCTCTCAAGCGCGAGCTACAAAGCTGGTCTAACGAAAAGTTTGAATGAATCTTATAATCAAGGCATACAATGTATACTGCAGAAATCTGGAGAATTAGTGGGGGTGCACCTACCTCTAATAACTCAATTGTGGGTCAGTTTATGGCTTAACCCATTTGGCCTTTTTCTGCGTAGTGAATGTCCCCCCTCTCTGGACCTCTGTGGAAACGTCATTCGTGGAAAAATACTTAAGAGACGATACTCCGAGGAATAGGAGACGATCGAAATGATTTAGGAGACGAAAGCAATCGTCTCCTATATTTAAGAGACGATTCAGTAGGAGACATTCCAATTAGGAGACGAAAGTTTCGAAATAGGAGACGATCCGAAAGATTTAGAAGACGATACCATAGAGTTTACATGGTACACTTAAGAGACGATCCGTTGAGAATAGGAGACGATCCGTTGAAAATAGGAGACGTTTTAAGAGGAGACAAAAGATTTAGGAGACGATCCGTTTCGTCTCCTATTTTTAGGAGACGAAATCCATTAAATAGGAGACGATCAAAAGGATTTAGGAGACGAAAAGTAGCACCACTCGATTTTCCACAGAGGTCCTGTTCATTCACATTTGGTTTGGCAAGAAGCAGCCTAGTATGGAAAAAGTGTACAAAGATGATCTAAATAAAGTGGCATTTAATTCATGAGTTCTAGGCCTTTTGCTGTCCTTTTATCCTTTTCATTATCAGGTGAAGCAGTACTGTACGCTGTACTATTAATACTCCTAGTGGAAGCCTTTTTAACCTTTTAATTACTATTGCTACCAGTAGCTCGTTGCTGTACCAGTAGCTACCAATACCGGTAGTGCGATGCATTAAATCAGTGCAGTATGGCACAGTCGCAAAGAAGCTTCCGCTTCCCCTGCCCCTCCACTTACATGCTTTTGGCCATTGACCTGTGCTTGGAGATTGGTGATGAGCACGAGAGAGAGCCCGAGAGGCTTCCACAAACTCCTCGTTCCCTCCCTCCAACCCTCCAGCTCCTCTTCAGCTCAACCCAACCCACAAAGTCTAGCTACTAGCTAAGCTAGTAGAAGATATCCGCCACCGTAGTCAGTGATATAGAGTAGCCCGTTGTAAAGCACCATGAGCAAGACGCCTCCTTCTCCTCCTTCGACCTCTCGAGAACACGAGACCCCTCTATCTCCCTTCCGTCCGAAGAGACCAACAGACGATTCTTTCCTTGAACCGGAGAACCCGAACGGTATCATGATGCCTTCCTCTTCCCCTCCAGCACGCACATCGTTGACCCGTCACGTGAGTGATAGTCATGCCGCTTCCGAAGCAGAGTTACAAAGGGCGTCCATGATCATGAGAGACTTTGGAGGAGAGTCCAAGAGTTGTTCTGCCATTCACTACAACCACCACTTGTCTGGTCGACAGTTAGAACTGTTGGATGTGAAGGAGGAAGCACCTTCCAGTAGCGATCAGACTGAGCCTACCTCGGAAGAAGAAGAAGACGACGACGAAGCAAGAGTCTGCGAGAAACTGCAAACGGCAGAATCCAAAGAAGAAGGCGGTCCTGAACCAACAACTGACAATGCTACGGGGGCGACCGCCGGCATGTGTGATGCTCTGGATGCCCGTGTGAGCGAAAAGTTGCAAGCAAACAGTTCGTCCGTGGAATCTTCCATTGTAGAGGAACCTTCGGCAGTACAAGTGGCAGATCAGCTGCAGGTTCCTGCTCCAAGCCGAATGAAGACTGTACCTGGCAGCGTGGCCATCGCGGCGGGAGTACAACAGACAGCGCGAGTTCAGGCTTCCAAGAGTACTTGCATGGGCATGTCGGAAGAAGAGCTAATGCCACAACCCTTTCCACAACCAACTTTCGAGGAGGAGCAAGCACCAGGTGCCTATGCCACGCCTGGTCGTGCCCCTTTCACCAACAGTCTGGTCAGATTGGAACAACAACAACAAGACGACCTGAGCCCAATCCCCACCACCGCACAGAGTCACAACAACAACAATCTTGACCCAGTAGTTGTCGTCAACGATTCCCCCCTGATGGCAGTGTGCGTGGATCACGATGACTTGGAACATCGAATCCGAGAGGAAATCATCCAGGCATCCTCTCGAGCAGATGTGATACATATCGAAGACAGTGATGGTGATTATGATGAAGATTTGGAATCCAAGGCATCCTCCTTGGACCTCGAATTGCGACAGACCCGTCGAAAATGTACCATTTGTGCCACCATTTCTACTTTGATTGTCATGGCACTCATTGGAGTCATTGTCTGGAGTGGAGTCCAAACAAAAGACAGCAGCAGCAGCAACAGCAACAGCGGCGATGTTGAAGACGAGAAGAAGAAAGACATTTCATCGGCCGCCTGGATGCTTCAGGGTATCCTCAAGCGTGGCACACTTCGCTGTGGTGTCGTTGGGGATCCTTCTTGGAATGATCAGACAGTTAGTAGTCATGATGACGGTGACAAGGAGAATGAGAAGGGCAAGGACAACAATGCCGACAAACACGGGGGCAGACGACACTTGCGAGAACGGAGTCGGCAACTTCAGAAGAGTGACAAAGAAAACTCGTCCGGGCCGAAGGACGTATGGGGACAACGAATTCCGCAAGACGTTGCCTTTGAAGATTTAGAGGTCTGGGAACAGGACAAGCTCCTCGACAGGGCAGCAAGCAACAAGGAATACGATATTGTAGGTGGACTGCGTCGTGTTTTGGAATTTGATGCCTGCTGCCATGGACCTTGCTTGATCTTACATACCTTCTCTTTCCATCCATTTTTCGTTCGTTTCGTTTCGACCAAACCCCTCCAAAAGTGTCGAGCATTGGGTGCAGCAATCTTTGGAAAGGGTGGTGAAGCCAAAGTGCAGATGGTATATGCTTGGGATTGGCATGAGACGATTTTTAAGGATAAGATGGATCTCTACATTGGAACCATGAGCCCGACTATAGACAATGATTTGTTTGTGGTACGTTCAGTTGGCGGAAGCTCTCGTTCTGATGCGGTTCCATGAACTAACGTTGAATTCTCCGTCCCCGTTTAGCCCGGTCGTCTGATCGGATATACATTTTCCGCACCCTACTCTTACCAAGGACTTCGCTTCGGGGGCAACGCTTCGGACGTTCGTTGTGCCGAGGCGTTGGCCTTGGGTGGAACAGTCTCTGATGACTGTGACGAGACAATTGTCTGCGTGCACGAAACAAGCCTGGAATTATCAGACAACAGCATACTGCCAGGTCTGGGGGACTTCCCTCCCAATAGAACGATCATCTTGCCGCGCAACGAAGACTTGTTCGTGCCGCTGATTGACGGCACGTGCAATGTCATTGCCGGTTATGCAACGACGGTAGCAGAATCAAGGGCCCAAAAAGCAGGTTTCGACGGGGACTACGTCGTGGGCAACGGCCTTGTGTCAAAGGAACCACGTGTGATTGAAACTTACGACACCACCGGTGGCTACTCGACGTTCGTAAACTGGGTCTTGCTGTCTCTATTTGCTGCTGCACAGCACGATATCACACAAGGCAACGCAGAGAATTTCCCAAAAACAAGTTTGTTTGGTGATGAATACCAAGACGTTTTCTGCAATGTGATAGGAGCTGTTGGAAACATCAACGAAATCTTCTCTCGCGACCGCACGCTAAGCAAGGAGGACGTTTCTCCGCCGAGCGTTCAGAACACAGGGTTGATCATGGCACACCCTATAGGCAGGGCTCGGAGGACAGGATATGATGTTTTGGAGAAAAGTAAAGACGGGGCCCTTCGTGATTTGCACGCAAGGGGGAAACTACGCTGTGCCATCCGAGCGAACAGGCCAGGATTCGCCGTAGAAGTTTCGTCCGGAGTGACAAACAAACCTTTCAGTGGCATGGATGCTGACTTTTGTCGCGCAGTAGCGGCTGGTTTCTTTGCATCCACAGACGACACTGTTATCGAGTTTGTTGTGGTCGATTCGGAGGATGAAGGGTATTCAATGCTATCTGGAGGCCAAGTGGACATCATGGCAGGTGCAACTTGGGCCTTCAGAGAAAAGGCCATTGAAGACAAGAATTCCGATGGCTTTGAGTACTCTCAGCCTTACTTTCTTTTTCGTGGCAACAGTAGGTGAGTGCTGTTCTGAATTGAGTTGGACGTGCACGAACATCGCAGGCGAGGAGAACCTCATCTTTCATCTTGATACTGCAGCAGTACACTTGAAGACAATTTTTGCCTAGCGATGAAGGGAGGCAATTACCAATGGAGGTCATTTGTTCGTTGGACTATCGCTGCCACAATCTTCGCCGAAGAAGAGGGCATCGAGCAAGATCGAGCTGAGGAACTTCCTTCGATAGGGTCGTTTGGGTCTGCGTTTGAAGGGATGTTCAGGTATTCTGTTTCCCATGTTGGTAATTACCGCGAGATCTATGAGCGCAATCTTGGTGATCGAATCCCCCGAAGTGGCCCCAACCTGTTGAATCGAAACCCTCAAAGCTCAGTTCTGACCCTTGAAGCATACGTCCCTCCAGGCTTGTGGCACTCGTTCCCATTCAGCTAGATTTCAAATTGTTCTCGCACGCTCCCACTTATCTCTCCTATCTCGTCTTCGAACCACCTACCTCCAAGCAAGAGACACAGAACACAGTATCAACGGCCATCCCAGCAAGAGCCGGGATCCATGCCAGAGCCGAGGTAGTTTTCTTTCCTCAAACATCCACATCCTTCAGCCGCCGCACATGTTCTTGTAGAGGTAAAGGCTTGCTATAGCTTTATTATAGAACATTCAGAAACGTAGATACAGATACACAAACTACATTTTTAGTACGGAAGATGTGGCATGTTGCCAGTCAGGCATGGTTTTTGGCAACCAGGAATGATGAATCGTTTGCTCAGCAAGTACGCCAGTATGGCTTTGACAACCCGGGGTTTCACACAAATGCTTCGACTAGAGAGGGGCCGCCAATACATGGAACATCTTGACAGTCTCGGCAGCACCATTCAAAGCAACACACGCACAAGAGAAGCCTGTGCAGAAATGATGTATCGCGACCTCCTCTTGTTGCAGTGGTGTCCTCATAGCGACTGTAGTTGCCGCCGTTGGCGATCACACCGGGTTGATTTGAACTTCGTCCGTAGTAATATCTGCGACGAATGCGCCTGCGTCCACAACCACAACACGAAAGTGTCAAGACAACCAAGGTCAAGGCAACAAACCACTGGCCCAGGTCCCAGGCCGCGACGGGTGTTCGAAATACACCGGCGATGCTATCAGCAACACCATCGATGAATCTATCGACCTGCAAGTGACGACGTTCTTGATGAGAGTGATGGGACATACTTCCTGACATACCGGAAGCAATTTAATGAGGGCAACTTGAATTCACGAGCCCAAGTTGTGGTGTTCCGAGTTCGGGGTTTAGTACGATGCCGAGCCTCAGTGTTGTTGCCCATACTGTGCCGTACCAGGCGTTTTGTACTAGCTAGTAAGTCGTGCTCGACGGTCCCGATTTTGTGAGGCTGGACTGGTGGACCTGTTGTGAGTGTTGATCTGGCACTCAGAAGCCTTAAGTCTTTGGGTCCCTAGCCAGATCCAAGACCCTATTATGATGTCAGCAAGCTGCATGCATGCTCACCCTGCTTGCAAGTTATGCAAGTAGGAGCCACCAACCGCTAAGAGCTGTTAAGAGTTGGCACTCCCAGGCTGAGCCTGTGTGCTCCCAGCCAGGGACAACTAGCCAGAAACTGCTCATAATTGTTATTAACAAACTTTTACTAACTAATTCTTCCCTAGGCCCCTGCCTGGATCAATAGTTAATAACAATCCAATCAACCGACTACCTCTCCATCGCGAGAGCAACAGCACAGCAATAAGCTACTAGCTGCAGTCCACCCTCACCATGACATCCTTCGTCGCTATCGATCACTTCACCAAAACCGAGCTCACCGCCATTCCCCCAGAAGAAAAACCTACCTACAACAGCCTGAAGATTCTCCATCAGGAACTGAACGCCAATGCCATGGCCGTCCCCTCCACCGGCGGTGGAGGCAACTATGGCCACCTCGCTTTGGCATTAACACCAGCACAGTTCAATGCATTGCCTAACACCATCCCATGGGTACTCCCAGCACACCCAGGAGTAGCACCAGTTCATGCCGGCAACGCAACCCAAGCACAAATCACCGAAACCAACCGTCTCTACATAGCATCTGAGACCAGGTTCTTCGTATGCAGAGCCACCGAAACTGCTCTACGCAAACAACTCCTTGACGCCATCCCCGACACCTTCACCAAAGCATTGAAGCATGAGATGTACGGATATGCTCAGCTCACAGTCATTCAGGTACTTACCCACCTCGACACCACCTACGGCACTGTTGACGCCTTCGACCTTGCGCACAACTTGAAAAGGATGAATGCAACTTGGAGCCCCTCTCAACCCATCGAAAATCTCTGGAATCAGATCAAGGATGCCCAGAAATTTGCAGCCGACCATGATCCAATCACAGATCAATACGCAGTCCGCTCTGCCCTTGAAAACCTCGAGAACAGTGGAATGTTCACGGATTCCCTCCGCGATTGGCGAAAGCTCACCATCGCAGCACAGCAATCATTTGCAACCATGGAAACCCACTTCACCGCGGCTGACAAAGAAAGACGCAGAATCCTTACTTCCAAAGGAATGGGATACGCTAACAAAGCTACCGAGGCTAAAAGTAACAAGGACCCCCCCGCCAGCACCAAAGGAGACAAAAACGGCGTCCCCATGTACTACTGCTGGTCGCATGGATTAGGACCAAACGGCAACCACACCAGCGCGAGCTGCTCCAAGCCAGTCACAGGACACCGCAAAGATTCTACCGCGGATAACATGCTAGGTGGGGGCTGTCAGATCCATCGCAAGGCCGGAGAAAGGGCCATCTACCGACGCCCACAGAGGCCCAATCGCGACAATGACGAAAATCAGCCACCTGCTGACCCAGCTCAAGGATGAGCAAGACGGGAGTGCAATACACGGCTCTTAACCTTATTCGCGACTCGATCCTAGATAGGGTTTGAGTTCGACTCATGACTGAGTCTCTCGTGAATAGTCATTTGAGACAGGGTTCTCATGACCGCGCTAGTCATACTAGGTTGATGATGAAACATCGCTCTAGATATTTAGCCAGCGTGGAGTACTTCCACGCTACTAGATCCAGGCTAGACAAACCTTCCACGCGTTCCGTTTTAGGATCGTGGAGACGTAGGTTACTACTACAACCTACTCTATCACACTTCATAGTCTCCCGCGGGAAGCCAGATCTACGATCCCTTGATGATGATCTCTCTCGTTGATTAGTTTTCATAGCTTTCTAATCTCTCTCATAATTCATTCTCTCAAACTCAAAACACTTAAAGATCTTTACACTAGCTTTTAGCGTAGTGCATTTTGTTAACAAACACAATAGCTTTCAGCTACCCTCAACCTATTCCTTCACCATGAAGATGGCTCAAGGAAAGCATGCGTTCCGCAACTTCGAGAAACAGTTGCGTACAAACCCATTCTTCCTCTCGTCGACAATGACGAAGACACGAGATCGACGATACTCGTGCAACCACCTGCAAACTTCGCAACCATGTTGCAAGCGCAAATCAGAAAACTCTGATAACGAGGACAACTCCTCTATAATTTCAATCACTTGGATGAGAAATCTCTATCTGAGGATTAGCCAGGATGATGACTCAACGGAACATGTTCCGATTTCTCATAACCAAGTGATGAAGATATCTCACTAACTAGTAAACAAGAATTGTTTGCAAACCGATGAACTCTACGGCAAATTAGATGATTGCCTAGAAGCTGCTCAACTAGACTCTGATGATCTATTTAGCATCGTTAACCTCGTCCGGGCCAACCACCTCGTAAACTCGCAAGACAAGAGACCTCAAACCCAATCTATGTTAGATTTAACAAGCGAAAAAGGGAAACCAAACCCGTTACACTCCGTTGCTTACTGGATACAGGAGCATCCGGACTTGATTGCTCAAACTCATGCTAAGAAATTACGCATGAAGGATCTTGGGGGCGTCCAAACATGTGGACTACCCCTGCAGGAGAATTAAACACCAGCACGAAGTGCAAAGGTGCATTCATGATTCCCGAATTCCACGAAGATAGAATTATCGAGTGGGATTTACACGTACCAAGAATTGGGGGCGTATGACATGATCATAGGTCGAGACATTCTCTCTGATCTAGGATTCAAGTTCGAATTCACTACCATGTCAGTTGAATGGGACGCGCGTCTATTCCTATGAAAGACTAGCGACCCAATGAAGAAGAGAACTTTTCATTCCTGATCCTACTGCTGTTGATGA